AATCAGCTGGGCATGGTGGTGGTGAGCACCTGTAATCCCAGCTACTCAGGAGGCTAAGGCACGAGAATGGCTTGAACCTGGGAGGCAGAGGTTGCAGTGAGCCAAGATCATGCCACTGCACTTCAGCCTCGGTGACAGAGTAAGAACAGTGAGACCCGTCTCAAAAAAAAAAAAAAAAAACCCATTTCTAACTCTGTTTACTGAAAAGGATTAGAAGCAGTGACAGTAGTATATCATTTAGTATCCCCAGTGCCCAAGTTGTGGTCTTAACTATTTCCCACTAAAAGGAACCAGGGCTTTTTAGAGAAATGGCTGATTATAGGTCTGGGGCAGGAAATAAACATGATACACCTAGGACATGGTGTGCTGAAAACTGAGGAACAAACGCTAATGGAGTTGTGTCAGAAGGACTCAGGAGCCAACTTGGAAGGGTTCCCGGGGCTTGAGATAGAAAAATTTGAGCATCAAAAAACCATAAGCTGGGCATGGTGGTGCCTGTGTATTCCCAGCTACTCAGGAAGCTGAGACAGGAGGATCACTTGAGCTCAATAAAGTGAAAACATCAAGTACATAAAAATTCATGCATTTGAAATAATTTTAAAAGAAAGTGGAAATCACTGGTCATGATTTTGGGTTGTTAGGAGAGTAACTCAATTCTTTAAAAATTAATGAAGGCAAAAAAATAAGCAGTTTCCCCACCTTTTCTGCATAAATTGTTAACTCCAGGAAACCAGAGGGTTAACAAGAGAGAAGTCTTCTTTGTAGAAGAATTCCAGTTAATAAATGCAGAAGAAATACTAGAATTAGAAAATTGCTGTTTTGCCACCCCTAATGAGGACACAGATCACGGCAGCCACCACTAGGTGAGAGGATGGTGGGAAAATGTAAGAGGAATCTGGCTACCTGCTATCTGAATCCACCAAACAGTCTTGGCACTGCTACACCTATGGCAGCCAGATGGGATATGCCTCATGATACTGTACAAGGGGAAGTACCCAGCCACATTCATGAACTGTTTTTGCCTAAAAATATGAACCCGACTCCAAGCAAGCCTAAAGTGGATCTCTCAGTTTACAGGAAATAAAGGGGTCAGAGGAACAAGTTAGAGGCACCTTGAGGTTAGTCAGCCAAATCCAAAATGTGGGACATTTCATAGGTTAGATGACTTGATTGCTCTAGTAGATTGATGGCATGAAAGAAGAAAAAAGCAGGAAGGACAATTGTCACATAAAAGATATTTAAGTGACCTAACAAAAAAAAAAAAGGACCACTCTGGCTGTTGTGTTGGGAATACATCAGAGCCAGACATGGGGGCGTGTGTCTGTAATTCCAGCACTTTGGGAAGCCGAGGCAGGCAGACAGCTTGAGTGCAGGAGTTTGAGACTAGCCTGAGCAACATAGTGAAACCCTATCTCTACAAAAAATTAGCCCGGAATGGTGGCACATGTCTCTAGTCCCAGCTATTCAGGAGGCTAAGTGGGAGGATCACCTGAGCCAAGGAAGTTGAGGTTGTAGTGAGCTATGATTGCACCACTGCCCTCTAGCCTGGGCAATGGAGCAAGACCCTTTCTCAAGGAAAAAAAAAATCAGCTGGGCATGGTGGTGCATGTCTGTGGTCCCAGCTGCTCAAGAGGCTGAGGCAGGAAGATTGCTTAAGCCCAGGAGGTAGAGGCTGCAGTGAGACATATTCTTGTCTCACTGTACTTTAGTCTGGCAGTCTGGGTGACAGAGTGAGACCCTGTCTCTAAATAAATAAATAAAAAACAAACAAACAAACACCAGAGATGATCAAGGATACAAACAGGGAGAACAAGTAAGAAGCTATTACAAAATTCCAGGTGAGATTTTGCACAAAGATAATAAGAAGATGGTGCCTGGATTCTGGATATCTTTTAAAGATGTAACTGACAAATTTAAAAGATGGATGGATGAGATGTGAAGTTTTAGAGTCCAAAATGACTTCTAAGTTTTGGCCTAAGCAATTGGAACAATGGAGTGCCATTTACTGAAATAGGAAAGACTGCAAGAGAAGCAGGTTTCTGGGAAAAGATTACGAGGAGCCCAATTCTGGACTCTGTATCTTCAGCCTGATAGGCTCTTTGAATATCCACAAGAAGTTATGTTAAGAAGGCAGTGGGATATATATATATATATATGGAATATTGAGGATGGGGCCAGGAGAGGATGTAAATTTGGGAAATTCAGAAGTTCTCAGTAGGCAGACAGTCTGTAAAGGTACTAGTGGGCGGGGTGCAGTGGCTTATGCCTGTAATCCTATCACTTTGGGAGGCTGAGACAGGATTGCCTGAGCCCAGGAGTTCAAGACCAGCCTGGACAACATAGACCCGATATTAAAAAAAAAAAAAAAAAAGGTACTAGTGTAGGTGAAAGAATAAAGGGAGGGAGTATAGCTGGAGGAGAGGTTCCAGGGCTGAGCCTGTGCACAGAGGTCGGAGTCAGTAACAGGAACAAAACAGGGACCTGGACGCATCCCAAAAGCCAGGTGAAGGAAGGAGGAGGGCTTTGTCAGACTCTTGAGGCAGGTCGAGAGAGGTTAGGACTAAACTCTGAGCTTTGGATTGTGCAACATGGAGATTTCTGATGCATTTGATAAGAGCAGTTTCATTCTGTAAGCCCATGGAAGTGGGCTCAAGAAAGCCTGCCTGGGAGACAGATGAGAAAATAGCTCTTTTGAGGAGCTTGAAAGAGAACCAAAGTGTTAGCTGGATGGGACAATGTGGTCTAGGGTCTAGAGAGGGGTGTTGCTTTGTTTGCTTGAGAATCACTGGTTTATTCCTTTCTGAAAGTATTTTTGTAATGGCAATCTTTCCCCTGCAGCTTTTTATTTTTGACAAATACCAAATCATAGAAAAGTTAGATACTGTATGTGTTTCACCTATTTTAACCCATTGTGGTTTTTTGTTGTTTTGTTGTTTTTTTGAGACAGGGTCTCGCTCTGTCACCCAGGCTGGAGTGCAGTGGTGTGATTACTGCTCACTGCAGCCTTGACCTTCCAGGCTCAAGCAATCCTCCCACCTCAGCTTCCCAAGTAGCTGGGACTACAGGCACACACCACCATACCTGGCTATTTTTTTTGCGGGGGGTTGGGGGAGGGTAGAGACAGAGTTTCGCCATGTTGCCCAGGCTGGTCTCAAACTCCTGAGCTCAAGCATCCTCCTGCCAAAGTGCTGAGATTACAGGTGTGAGCCACCCTGCTCCACCAACTCATTGTTAATGTCTTGCCACATTTGCTTTCTCTAAGTTTATAAATACATTTATGTTGTCTGAGCTGCTCTAAAATTGTAGACATAAAGTTTATGTTAAAGCTTGTATCTCCTAAAAAAGACAGTCTCCCACATAACCATAATATCGTTATTATATTCTAAGAAAGTTAATATTGATATGATAATATGTAACATGCAGTTCAAATTACAACTGTATATTGTTGCTATTTTCATTTCTACAGTCTAATCAAAGGTCACCCATTGCTTTTAGCTGTTACATCCTGAAGAGATTTTTTTTTAGGATGGGAAAAATAATAGCACATTTATATGCCGATTTCAAAAATCTGTAGAGAGTGAAAACTGATAATGCATAAGCGGGAAAACTGCCAAGGTGGTAAACTTGGAGGATGAGATGTAGCCACAGCAGGACAGGGTTGGGAAGGCACTGACTTTGGTGGGAGCATGGACGGTTTACCCAGAGTAGCAGGAAAGAGAGAAGGCAGAGCCTGTTGGCAGTGGCTGGTTAAACATGATAGACCTTGAGAAAATTTTCTTTTGATTGCTTTTATTTTCTTAGTGAAATAGGAATGATGGTATTCAGTTGAGAGGAAGGAAAGGAGATGTGTGACAGGTTGAAGAAAAGATATGAAGTCTTTGTCTAAGTCATCTTCAGTTAGGACATGGATTATCACTGATCTAAAGGAGTGCATTTATAGACCCCTGTAGGCCTTTACAGACCCTTGTAAACCCATAGCTTCTATAGATAGGTATCCCTGGAACTAATTTGCCTGAAAAAGGGCCTCTTTACAGTAGACTTCCTCTGACTTTGGAAGAAAAGGCAGACCCTCACCTATGCCAAATCCGAATTAATTATATCACTCCTCAGATTGTTTCTGCTCCTTGTCTGTTTGGTATTTTTTGTTTGCTTTGTTTTGTTTTTGAGATGGAGTCTTGCCCTGTTGCCCAGCCTGGGATACAATGGCAGGATCTTATCTCACTGCAACCTCCGCCTCCCGGATTCAAGTGATTCTTTTGCCTTAGCCTCCCAAGTAGCTGGGATTACAGGCGTGTACCACCACTCCTGGCTAATTTTTTTGTATCTTTAGTAGAGACAGGGTTTCACCATGTTGGTCAGGCTGGTCTCAAACTCCTGACCTCCTGATCCACCCACCTTAGCCTTGCAAAGTGCTGGGATTACAGGCGTGAGTCACTGTACTCGACCTTTTTTTTGTTTTGTTTTGTTTTGAGGTTGAGGTTCGTTCTTGTTGCCCAGGATGGCACAATCTTGGCTCACTGCAACCTTCACCTCCCAGGTTCAAGCGATTGTCCTGCCTCAGCCTCCTGAGTAGCTGGGATTACAGGCACCTGCCACTATGTCCAGCTGATTTTTTGTATTTTTCATAGCGATGGGGCTTCACCATGTTGGGCAGGCTGGTCTTGAACTTCTGACCTCAGGTGATCCACCTACCTCGGCCTTCCAAAGTGCTGGTATTAGAGATGTGAGCCACCATGCCTGGCATCTGTTTGTTGATTTTATTCTTCTTTTCTTCTTTTTTTAAATCCAGAAAAAAATTACTTTCTGAAAGCAGCATGTCCCTCTTAAAGACCCTCTTACCCCTCAGTCCCCTAGCTTATGATCCTGCTGGGGATTGCCACTTTGTTGTTTCAGTTTTAGCCTTTCCAGTGTGTGTGTCTGTTTATCTTTTCCCTCTTCACCTGTACTTCACCCTGTTTCCCTGCTTCTCCTTTGACTGTTGCCTCTTCTCTGGTTTTCAGGCTTGGTCACAATGGTGGGAGCAGCTCCTGTATGCCCAGAAGGAGAAACAGAAGGTTGCCTCTGCAGTGAAACACCGTCAGCACTGGCAAAAGCGGAGGTTTCTAAAGGCCTGGCTTGCATACCTGCAAATCCGCAGAGTGAAGAGACAGCAGAACGGTGAGTAGGAAGCCCAAGGCTCTTGAGACACAGAGTCTGGTCACAGTTTCCACTCTCCTGCTGCCAGTGGTACTGTATTAAGAAGTAATATAATGGTGTTACTCCAGAAATGTTGCTAAAAGGAGATTGAGGAGGAAAATACATCATCCTTGAATCACATTTATTTCCCTTTGGCCTTTTATTTATATCTATTGTAGATAGATAGGCTTTTTTTGTTTTGTTTTGTTGAGAGAGAGTTTTGCTCTTGTTGCCCAGGCTGGAGTGCAGTGGCACAATCTTAGCTCACTGCAACTTCTGCCTCCCTGGTTCAAGAGATTCTTCTGCTTCAGCCTCCTGAGTAGCTGGGATTGCCGGTGCCCGCCACCTCGCCCAGCTAATTTTTATATTTTTAGTAGAGGTGGAGTTTCATCACCTTGGCTAGGCTGGTCTCAAACTCCTGACCTCAGGTGATCCACCTGCCTTGGCCTTCCATAGTGCTGGGATTACAGGTGTGAGCCACTGCACCCGGCCTCTTTTATATATATATATATATTTAATCTAAATGGGGTTTTAGTTATGCTATAATTATTGTGATTATTTTAATTAATATGTTGATAACCTATGGTTTTGTATCTTGCATTTTTCCACACAGTTAATCAACACTTTTCTACATCTTAAGTATTTGTCATAAATGTTATTTTTTAACAACTGTTCATATCTTATAGGATGGCTTACCTTAATATACATAACCATTCTCCAATTTTTTTTTCTTGAGACTGAGTTTCACTCTTCTTGCCCAGCCTGGAGTGCAATGGGACACACTCAGCTCACTGCAACCTCTGCCTGTCAGGAGTAAGTGATTTTCCTGCCTCAGCCTCCCAAGTGTCTGGAATTGCAGGTGTGCACCCCCATGCCCAGGTAATTTTGTATTTTTAGCAGAGATTCCCCATGTTGGTCAGGCTGGTCTCAAACTCCCGACTTCAGGTGATCCGCCTACCTTGGCCTCCCAAAGTGCTGGGATTATAGGTGTGAGCCACCGTGCCTGGCCACCATTCTCCTATTAATAGATATTTGGATAGTTTGTGTTTGTCTCCAACTATTTGAATGCATGTGATTTTGCTGTCGAGGTTTTTGGATACTGTTTATGTTTTCGTTTCCCAATTAGATTCAGAAATAATAACAAATAAGCCGGGCACGGTGGCTCACACCTGTAATCCCAGCACTTTGGGAGGCTGAGGCAGGCGGATCACCTGAGGTCAGGAGTTCAAGAGCAGCCTGACCAACATGGTGAAACCCTGTCTCTATAAAAAAAAAATAACAAGTAGAAATATGGTACACTTTTTAACTTAAGTTTATTGAGTTTATGCAGAAGTGAGTCAAGCACTATGCTAGACACTGGGTTAAGGGTCTCTGGCATTCACCCAAACCTCCCTGCATGAATCTCTTAGGCTGCCGACACTGTGTCTTGGAAGAGTCTGAATGTGTTCATTTGACGATAGTGATGCCAGACCAGTAGTCCAGTTGCCCAGTCTTAGAATGTGAAAGCATTAAGCTGTTTAGTATGATAAGCTATAGACTAACGCCTGCCTCCAATTACAGCATTCAAATTCCAGGTCTGATTCCCATCCCCTTCCCAGTTCCCAGCTCATCAGACTATTATCTTGACTAGCATTGAAAGGAGGTGAAGCTGGCAGCCAGGAGCAGCTTGGCTGAAAGCCCAAAAAAAGCCTACCCCAGCATGGCAACTGAATTTTATGTCATTGAATCAATCTCTAAGGCCTATCCAGGAGATATTTGTATAGAAGCAAAAGTGAAACAGAGTCCTCTTTGAAAGCAATAGTTACCATTCCTGCTCATTAGTATCTAACTAGAAGCCCCAGCCCTGTGATGAAACTGATTTTATGGCAACCTTCTCCCTAAAATCACAGACCTTTTCTCTTTCCTTGGAGACTGGAGATGTTGCTCAGGGATTCCTAATGACCTTTAAAAGTCTAAAAAACTTTGGTTTGAGAGAGAGAGAGAGTGAGAGTATGTGTGTGTGTGTGTGTGTGTGTGTGTGTGTGTGTGTGTACAGCCTTGAATCCTTGCTCTCTGCCAAAAGTGGGGTTCAGCTTGTCTTACAGATTCTTCCACTGGGCATGGTGGCTCACACCTGTAATCACAGCACTTCGGGAGGCCAAGGTGGGCAGGTCACCTGAGGTCGGGAATTCGAGACCAGCCTAACCAACATGGAGAAACCCTGTCTCTACTAAAAATACAAAATTAGCCGGGTGTAGTGGTATGCACCTGTAATCCCAGCTACTCGGGAAGGCTGAGGCAGGAGAATCACTTAAACTCAGGAGACGGAGGTTGCAGTGAGCCAAGATCATGCCATTGCACTCCAGCCTGGGCAATAAGAGCAAAAACTCGCTCTCAATAATTTTAAAAAAGATGCTGCCGGGTGCAGTGGCTCAAGCCTGTAATCCCAGCACTTTGGGAGGCCGAGGCAGGTGGATCACGAGGTCAAGAGATCGAGACCATCCTAGTCAACATGGTGAAACCCCATCTCTACTAAAAATGCAAAAAATTGGCTGGGCATGGTGGCATGTTCCTGTAGTCCCAGCTACTCAGGAGGCTGAGGCAGGAGAATTACCTGAACCCAGGAGGCGGAGGTTGCGGTGAGCCGAGATCGCGTCATTGCACTCCAGTCTGGGTAACGAGAGCTAAACTCTGTCTCAAAAAAAAAAAAAAAGATGCTTCCAGCTCATCTTCTAACCTTGGACGAGCAGCACTTAAGTTATATCTCTGTTGCAGAGATGGCTGAACGATTGCATCATGTCACTATGCTCCAGATACATTTCTGTAACTGGCAGCAGGCCTGGGAGCGGAGGGAGAGCTTGCACGCCCACCAGGCCCAGGTGGAGAAACTGGCCAGGAAGATGGCCTTGAGGTGCACCTTTACTCACTGGAAACACTGTATCCTTTCGATACCCAGGCTGTCCATTGCCTCAGCCAGGACAGCAGGAGCTTAGGAGCATGTGAAACAACAGTCATGAGATACATGGGAAACAATTGCTCAACAGTTTAAGACAGCCTTATCTCTGTTGACAGTCTTAAAATGTTTTGTTTAATTGGAACTGTATATACAAAAGAGTACTTATATGTTTATAGTTTAAAAAAAAAAAAAAAAACAATAAAATGGGCAGGGTGCAGTGGCTCACCCCTATAATCCCTGCACTTGGGGAGGCCAAGGCAGGAGAATCACCTGAGGTCAGGAGTTTGAGACCAGCCTTACCAACATGGAGAAACCCTGTCTCTACTAAAAATACAAAATTAGACAGGCATGGTGGCACATGCCTGTAATTCCAGCTACTTGGGAGGCTGAGGCAGGAGAACCACTTAAACCCAGGAGGCAGAGGTTGCAGTGAGCTGAGATCATGCCATTGCACTCTACCCTGGGCAACAAGAGCAAAACTCCATCTCAAAAATAATAATAATAAATTGGACCAGGCGCAGTGGCTCATGCCTATAATCCCAGCACTTTGGGAGGCCGAGGCAGGTGGATCACGAGGTCAAGAGATCAAGACCATCCTGGTCAACATGGTGAAACCCCATCTCTACTAAAAATACAAAAATTAGCTGGACATGGTGGCACACGCCTGTAGTCCCAGCTACTCAGGAGGCTGAGGCAGGAGAATTGCCTGAACCCAGGAGGCGGAGGTTGTGGTGAGCCGAGATCGCACCATTGCACTCCAGCCTGGGTAGCAAGAGCAAAACTCCGTCTCAAAAAAAAAAAAAAAAAATTTGGTGTTGTAATTTAATGCTTTTCTCTTCCCACTAGGTGGTGGAAATAGCCACCACTGTCTTTTTCTTGATGATACCATCACCATGATCATTTTACCGATGCGGAAACAGATTCAGAGGATTTAGTGTATTTTAAAGTCACAAGTCATTGGCAGAGTCAGGATTTAAAAAACCCAGGCCTTTAACTCCTGTCGTCGTCGTCGTCGTCGTCGTCGTCGTCTTCTTCTTCTTCTTCTTCTTCTTCTTCTTCTTCTTCTTCTTCTTCTTCTTCTTCTTCTTCTTCTTCTTCTTCCTCTTTCTTCCTCTTCTTCTTCTTCTTCTTCTTCTTCTTCTTCTTCTCCTTCTTCCTTCTTCCGTCTTCCTTCTTCTTCTTCTTCTTTCTTCTTTCTTCTTCTTCTTCCTTTCTTTCTTCTTTCTTCTTCTTCTTCTTCCTCCTCCTCCTCCTCCTTTCTTCTTCATCTTTGTCTTCTTTTTTTTTTTTTTTTTTTGAGACAGAGTCTCTGTCGCCCTGACTGGATTGCAGTGGTGCCATCATGGCTCGCTGTGACCTCTGCCTCCTGAGTTCAAGCGATTCTCCTGCCTCAGCCAGGATCCCAAGTAGCTGGGATTACAGGCGCCTGCCACCACACCCAGCTAATTTTTGTACTTTAAGTAGAAACGGGGTTTCACCATGTTGGCCAGTAAGTAGAAACGGGGTTTCACCATGTTGGCCAGGCTGGTCTCGAACTCCTGACCTCAATTTATCCACCTGCCTCAGCCTCTCAAAGCACTGGGATTTCAGGCATGAGCCACCGCGTCTTGCCCTGTGTACAGTTTCTTAATCACTACTGCTACCATACTGTGTGCCCAAGTGTGAGAATTTGGACTGCCTAAGACGTTCATCCACGCATTTTATTTGTTCATCAAAGCCTTGCTTTGTGTAAACTCCTGCTTAATTTCTGCGATCCGAGGAAGTTCAGACTAATGGTAGTTCATTGTCTAGTGGGGAAAATAGACATGAAAATGGATTTTTAGATATGGCATGATAACTGCTATCATGAAGATTTGTTTCAAGTCCTGTGAGAGCCCCTGTGGAGATTCAGCCAAGGAGGTCATGTTTGTCCTGAATTTAAGTCGTAGGAGATGAGAAGTTGGGAAGGTTGATGTCTTAGGGGAATACTGCAGAAGGTTGGAAATGGCATTTCAGTGGAATGAATGATGTTTACCCAGGTTTAGAGGTGAGGAAAAGCATTCAGGAATCCAGTGAGCTATAGAGGTGTGGATGGCGGGAAGGTAGATGAGATACAGGAATCTCTGGAGGTTTTTTAACTTTTTAAAATTTAGAGGTGGGGTCACACGTTACCCAGGCTGGACCGCAGTGGCTTTCACAGGTGCAGCGGTAGCTTACTATAGTCTTGAACTCCTGGGCTTAAGTAGTCCTCCCTCTTCAGCCTCTCAAGAATGTGGAACTGCACGCACACACCATCACACCGGCATTAGAGGTTTTTAAGAAGAGAAGAGGTGGGGGGAGGGGGCGTAAAAAAAGAAAAAAAAAAAGGAAAGAAAAAGGCCAGGGGCAGTGACTTAAGCCAAGTGCTTTGGGAGGATTGCTTGAACCCAGGAGTTTTAGGCTACCGTGAACTATGATGGCACCCTTACCCTCCAGCCTGGGTTGATAGAGCAAGACCCAGTCTCTTAAAAGAAAAAGAAAGAAAGGAAATGCAGTCAGATTTGTGCTTTGGAAAGGATAATTCTGGATTAGCGGAGAGAAGCTCCTGGTAGGAGACCCGTTATGGGAGGAGGCTCACTTACCAGTCTATGTAAAGAGATGAGTCAGATGAACCGCAGGGTGTTGGGGGTGGGAACAGAAGAGCAGGAGGGGATGGAGAGAGCCAAGAGATTTAGGAAGAGAGCAGATGGACTTGACGTCCGATTAAATGAGAGTGGGAGGAGAAAAGGTTTGAAAATAACTCCAAGGTTTTTAGCTCAACTGACTAGATTGTGATGACAAAACAGAGTGCAGAAAAAGAAGCAGATTCTGTTTTTGATACGGTGATTTCTAAATGTTTACTGAAACCAGTAGCAATTTATCTCAGGTATTTTTTGCCTTTCATCTCATGGGCATTCAAGGGAAGGAATGCGAGGCAAGATGTTTGATCCGTAATTGACATGGTTTCCCTTTGCCCACTGCTGCCCTGGGTCATCAGGAGTAGACAGAGGTGGACCTCAGCCCACCTGGTACATCTGTTATCCCTGACAGCCACAGCCCTTCAGGTGGGTCACTGGAAATGCACTGTGTGGGGGCCAGAACCTTGTTGAGACTGGAGGCCTTAACTTCCTGACAGACATGCTGCTGTGTGCAGAAGAAGCTGCCCAGTGTGAGATGGCGGAAGAGCACCACAGGCACAGGCGGCTGGTAAGAACCCTGCAGCCTGGCATGGCTCTGCTCGGCAGTCTTGCTTGGGTATCCACTATTGGGGGACCCTGACTTCTATCATCTTCATTAAATGCAGCTAGCTATGGGTGAGTTTTAGCCATGAAGCCCCCCTTTCATTGTAGGTGTCCCTGTTTTTATTTTGGATTACAGATGGTAATGGTGTGGAGTTAGAAGGGTTTGGAGCTGTAAAGGACCTCAGAGATTATTTATTCCTGAGCTTTTTTTTTTTTTTTTTTTTTACACATGGGAAAACACCTTTTGAGTGGTGGAAGCCTCATCTTTAAATAGGTCAAAGTAGCCATGCTGTGGTTGAAGCATGTCAGTGAGTCAGTCCCTGTTCTGCCTGCTACTCTTCCCTTCTGCTGCTACAGAAGGTGGTCCTCAAATGTTTTCAGGAGCCTGTGGGGTTCCACAAAGCACAGTACAAAAACCCTTAATCCAGCCTGATATCTTCACTTCTGTCTCAGAAAACTGAAGCCTAAGGCATGGAGGAATATGGGCAAATCAGCTTTGCCTAGCCAATCTGTAAGGCATTGTTACTATTTTTTTAGAGATGGGGTCTCACTATGTTGCCCAGGCTAGATTCAACTTCTGGGCTCAAGCAGTCCTCCCTTCTCAGCCTCCTGAGTAGCTGGGACTATAGGCATGTGCCACCATGCCTGTTGCTAAGGCATCATTATTATTAGAGATAGAGTCTCCTCTGTCACCCAGGCTGGAGTGCAGTGGTACAATCATAGCTTGCTGCAGTCTTGAACTCCTGGACTCAAGTGATCCTTCCACCTCAACCTCCCAAGTAGCTGGGACCACAGGCACATGCCACCATGCCCAACTAATTTTTTAGTTTTTTTATACAGTGTCTCCCTATGTTGGCCAAGCTGGTCTTGAACTCCTGTGCTCAAGCAGTCCTCCTGCCTTAGCCTCCTAAAGTGTTGGGATTACAGGCATGAGCCACTGCACCAGGCCTTTTAGGCATTATTGATGGAGCTGGATCCAGGTCCAGATATCCTGCCCCAATCCCAACCCCTCTTTCACTAAAGATTCCTTCCTTCACTTTAGCAACACTGCATTTATAATTGTATAAACTTACACACTGAGCCCACATGGTAAAAAAACAAAAACACAAAAACGACCACAGATACAAAGTTGGTCTGTTTTTTTCTGAGAGGCAAAAACTGATGTTGACCTTGGTCTGTAGAATTGTCATGTGGGTCATGGGATTCTCTCCTGGTATAGGTGTGTTCTTGTACAGTATAAATGGACAGCAGGAAGGGTTCAGCAAACATTTATTAAGTGCCTGCTGTATTGGCTGGCTTGTGTTAGGCTCCCAGTTGAATCTCAAAGCAGAGAAACACACTCAGGGAAATGGAACAGCTATGAGAAGCTGGGACCAACCTTCTCTCCCCTGATTTGAGGCACTGTCTGTGTTCTTCTGCTCTTAGTTAACAGATTCTACTGATTCTAGTCCTTATAATTGGTTACGTCCTTTCTTTCCACAGTATTTTTGCTTTAGAGCCCTAAAAGACAATGTGGCCTACACCCATCTCCAGCAAATAAGAAGGAATCTTGCTTACCAGCAGCGTGGTATCACGGTGAGGGTTGTCTTCTTTATCAAGGGACCTCTTCTGATAGCCATTCTTTTTTTCTCTCTGTCTCTCTCTCTCTTTTCATTCTTGCCAAATTAAACAAAACTCTTTTTGTAAAAAAAAATTTATGCTTTAAAATTTGTTCAGACTGTCCTAAAACCTTAGTTTGCATTTACTAATTTTTTTTTTTTTTTTTTTTTTTGAGACAGAGTCTTGCTCTGTTGCCCAAGCTGGAGTGCAGTGGCATGATCTCAGCTTATTGCAACCTCCACCTCCTGGGTTCAAGCGATTCTCGTGTCTTAGCCTCCCAAATAGCTGGAATCACAGGTGTGCACCATCATGGCCAGCTAATTTTTTGTATTTTTAGTAGAGACAGGTTTTCTCCATGTTGGTCAGTCTGGTCTCAAACTCTTGGCCTCAAGCAATCCACCTGCCTCTGCCTCCCAAAGTGCTGGGATTACAGATATAAGCCACCATGCCTGGCCCCAAATACACTTTAAATCTTGCATTATAGGAGGCTTTGGTTGTGTTTCTATTATAAATCCATTCACTTCCATTATAAGTCCATTATAAAACAATGGTTTGTTTACTTGATGTCAACAAATATTGTCTCTACTTGAAGATTTTGTTTGTTGGTGTAGAAGGATTTTTTTTCCGTTATTGTTTTATGAAAAATGTTTAAAAATACAGAACAGTAGAAAAAAGTAATATAATAAGCCCCTATATACTCACTACCTGGATACACTAATTGTTAATATTTGCTATATTTGCTTCATTGTTTTTTGCTGAATAATTTCAAAGTAAATTATAGCCATCACGACACTTTGCATCTAAATATTTCAGCATGCATCACTCAAAGACATTTTCTTATGTAATGACAATGTCATTATCATCCCTCAGATAATTAACAGGGATTCTCTAACATTATCTAATACCTAGTTAATATTCAAATTCCCATAGTTGTTTCAAAGATGTCTTATTTATAGCTGCTTTTTGCAAACCAGAATACAGTTAAGGATCACTAACTGCATTTGGTTGTTTTCTGATTGATTCTCAGCAGAAATGCATTTGGTTATTATGTCTCTTAAAGCTTTTTTTTTTTTTTTTTCCCTGAGACAGAGTTTCGCTCTCGTTATCCAGGCTGGAGTGCAATGGCACGATCTCGGCTCACCACAACCTCCACCTCCTGGGTTCAGGCAGTTCTCCTGCCTCAGCCTCCTGAGTAGCTGGGATTACTGGCACGCGCCACCATGCCCAGCTAATTTTTTGTATTTTTAGTAGAGACGGGGTTTCACCATGTTGACCAGGATGGTCTTGATCTTTTGACCTCGTGATCCACCCGCCTCAGCCTCCCAAAGTGCTGGGATTACAGGCGTGAGCCACTGCACCCAGCCTTCTTAAAGCTTTTAATCTAGAAGTTTCCTTCCCCCAACTACACTTCTTTTTTTACATACACATACATACGTGTGTGTGTGTGTGTGTGTGTGTGTGTGTGTGTGTGTAAATAAATATTTGGTGTAGGAGGATTTTTTCCTCTGTTGTTTTATGAAAAATGTTTAAAAATACAGAAAAATAGAAAAAAATAATATAATAAGCTTCTATATACTCACTACCTGGATATACTAATTTTTTTTTTTTTTTTGAGACTGAGTTTCACTCGTTACCCAGCCTAGAGTGCAATGGCACGATCTCGGCTCACCACAACCTCTGCCTCCTGGGTTCAGGCAATTCTCCTGCCTCAGCCTCCTGAGTAGCTGGGATTACAGGCACGTGCCACCATGCCCAGCTAATTTTTTGTATTTTTAGTAGAGATGGGGTTTCACCATGTTGACCAGGATGGTCTCGATCTCTTGACCTCGTGATCCACCCGCCTCGGCCTTCCAAATTGCTGGGATTACAGGCGTGAGCCACCGCGCCCTCTGTTTTGTTTTTTTTAAGACAGAGTTTCACTCTTGTTGCCCAGTCTGGAGTGCAATGGCATGATCTCAGCTCACTGCAACCTCCACTTCCTGGGTTCAAGTGATTCTCCTGCCTCAGCGTACCAAGTAGCTGGGATTGCAGGCATGTGTCACCACACCCAGCTAATTTTGTATTTTTAGTAGAGACAGGATTTCTCCATGTTGGTCAGGTTGGTCTTGAACTCCTGACTTCAGGTGATACACCCGCCTTGGCCTCCCTAAGTTCTGGTATTATATGCGCGAGCCACTGCGCCAGGCAGAACTTTTCTGTCTTGCAGAACTGAAACTGTGTACACATTTCCTCTTTCCCCATCCCCTGGAAACCACCATTCTACTTTCAGTCTGTATAAATTTGAGTATTCTAGAGACCTGACAGGTGGAATCATATAGTATTTGTCCTTTTGCAACTGGCTTATTTCACTTAGCACAGCGTATACTTTTTTAAATGACTGCCTTTTTTCTTTAAAGGACAGGTCAGTTATTTTGTGTATACAATTTACTATTATTATTAGAGACAGGGTTTCGCTCTGTCATCCAGGCTGGAGTGCAGGGGTGTGATCATAGCCCATTGTAGCCTCATCCTCCTGGGCTCAAGAGATTTTCCTACCTCAGCCTCCTGAGGAGCGAGGACTACAGGTGCACACCACCATGCCCAGCTTTGTACAGTATTATATATTCTTGATTATTCTGATTGTTTCCTTTTGATATCATCTAATTTTTATTTAGTCTGCATGGTTCCTATAATCATTACATCTAAGGGCTTGTTTAGATTGAAGTTAAACATTTATGCAAGACTACTTCATAGGTGGGAATATGCAATAAAAGCAGTTTTAGTTTCTAAAATGACTTTTTAAAATGTGAGTCTTCTGTGAGACCCAGATTAGGAATAGCTTCTTCATCTAGATTTCCACAGACAAAGAACCATCTTTTTGCCTTTTATGTTGGCCCGGAATAGCTCTGTAGTTCAACCATCATTAATTTGTATGCCCTTTGTATGTTGGCTGCTCCAAACTGAGGTGACTCCTGCTTTAGGGGAGGTCAGTCTGTTGGAGTAAGGTTCACTGCCTTACCTTTCATCTCAGTAAATTTCCATTTTCTTCCTACCTTGCTTTAGCTGCTACACAGGTTCTGGAACCTCTGGTGGTCTCAGATTGAGAAGAAAAAGGAAAGAGAGCAGCTCCCCTTACTGCATGCTGCCTGGGACCACCACAGGTAGGTACTCTGGCTTCATCCCTGGCTCTCAGGGACTCTGTGCCTCTGACTTAATCTCTTCCAGGAGTGATCACTTGCCCTTCTATGGGTTAGTATGGCAGATTCAGAAAGGCCTACTGGGGTGGAGGTCTTGCTATAAATTTGTTTAAAAATTTGTTCCTAAATTTGGGTTTTTTTCTGATCAGCTGGGAGAAAGAATGAGGATATTTGAATTGGTTCTTGGCCACCATAGTCTGAAGTATGTGCCTGGTCACTCATTGTCTTAGTCCTGCAGGCATCAAGATGTTCACAAGTTAGAATTCATGCATTGCTAGTGTTAAAGAGAAGGGTCATGGGTATTTGAGGCTCAGTCTTAAGGGGTGCAGGAATTGTCCTCAGTATTTTAGAACTAGTCATTCGGTTAAATAAATAACAACACTACATTTCTGTGAGGAAAACTCAGAATATATAGGGTGAAAAGTATAAAGAGAAAAATAAAAGTTGCCTGGCCTGGCCCCCTCCCTACAGTTAGAGTAAGATCTTAGTCCTCAGAGGGAAATACTATGTATGAACTTCTTTGCTGCTAGAAATGTTCAATGTGTCCTCTTCTTTGCCCTCCCCTTCCTTCCTCTCCCCATAGTATAATCAACTTAATTTGCAGAGTTTAGGTCCAATTTTGAAGCTTTTTTTTTTTGAGATAGAGTTTTGCTCCTGTTGCCCAGGCTGGAGTACAATGGTATAATCTCGGCTCACTGCAACCTCTGCCTCCCAGGTTCAAGCGATTCTCCTGCCTCAGCCTCCAGAATAGCGGGGATTACAGGTGCGCACCACCATGCCCTGCTAATTTTTGTATTTTTAGTAGCGACAGGGTTTCACCATGTTGGCCAGGCTGGTCTCAAACTCTTGACCTCAGGTGATCCACCCACCTTGGCCTCCCAAAGTGCTTGGATTACAGGCTTGAGCCACCATGCCTGGTCTTGAAACATTCTTTAGTGAGTTAGTGAGAATTTCAATAATTAACCAACTCATGTAGAGTTATCAAGACATATTATTCTAAACCCTGGTTTACAAAACTAAGTGTGAGAGGGAACATGTCACGGACCCCCATAAATTGGCCATGAAACCAGGAAGTTCAGGATATCTAGGGGATTCCATGCATATATCTTAAGTTCCAGAGATACTGTGCTTTCGATGGTCTAGTTAGGTTTTACAAGAAAGTTGTCAACATTTTTTTTTTTTTTTTTTGAGACGGAGTTTCACTCTTGTTACCCAGACTGGAGTGCAATGGTGCGATCTCGGCTCACCGCAACCTTCACCTCCTGGGTTCAAGCAATTCTCCTGCCTCAGCCTCCCGAGTAGCTGGGACTACAGGCGCATGCCACCAGGCCCAGCTAATTTTTGTATTTTTAGTAGAGACGGGGTTTCACCATGTTGACCAGGATGGTGTCAATCTCTTGACCTCGTGATCTACCCACGTTGGCCTCCGAAAGTGCTGGGATTATAGGCGTGAGCCACCGCGCCCAGCCATGTTGTCAACATTTTTAGGCAATCCACAATCCAGAATCGGAAGTTGACAAATTTTATGTTAGATACCAGGGTCTTTTTTTTTTTTTTTTTTGGCGGGGGGAGACAGAGTTTCACTCTTGTTGCCCAGTCTGGTGTGTAATGGCGCGGTCTCGGCTCACAGCAATTTCCACTTTCCAGGTTCAAGCAATTCTTCTTCCTCAGCCTCCCAAGTAGCTGGGATTACAGGCATGAACCACCATGCCCGGCTAATTTTTGTAGTATTTTAGTAGAGACAAGGTTTCACCATGTTGGCCAGGCTGGTCTCGATCTCCTGACCTTGAGATCCACATGCCTTGGCCTCCCAAAGTGTTGGGATTACAGGCATGAGCCACCGTGTTATTGTTCTCTCTCCTAAAATGAAACTGTCAAGCCCATAGGGTGCCTTTAACTCACAGGAAGTAACTGTACCCTGATTTACCTGCCTTAAAACAAGGTTTTAAGAACCTGAAACCTGAAGGTGTGGATGGGCAGGAAGTACCTGGTGTTCTTCGTTTTGTTTTAGGATGGCATTGCTGTGCAAGTGTGTCAAATGGTGGCTACAGTATACCCAGAAGAGGCGGTACAAGCAGGTATGGAGTACTTTTTAGCAGATAGCTCTATTGGCTTATATTCTTAGACCCATTTGCTTTGGAAAGACTCTTGGAGAAGACCTTTCTCTAAGAAGTGTTGTTCTGCTTTGGAAGAGAGGGGATCGAAAAAGCTCAAAAGCATTTCCTCCAGTTCCCACCTCTGATACCAGAAAGTCTGCATAATTCCCATTTCTTAATCTGCTATGAAAATACAGATGCTCTCAGAAAGTACTGAGCTCTTATCAGCCATTCACATTTTTACTCAAATTCATTTAGTCCGTGAGTTAGCCAGTCCATCACCCAGTGGGACCTGCAGGAGATACAGGGAGTGGTGCAGAGCGTAAGTGCTGCATCCCAGTGCTAAGCAGTGTGAGACACGTGTTCCAGGGGGTGGAGGACGTGAGGTTGGGACCACAGAAAAAGAGAGATTCACTTCCCTTTAATAAATACTTACTGAGCAACTGCTCTGCCTCAGACACTGTGCTAAGCACTGAGGATACAACTGTGATATAAAGTAGATAAAATTCCTGCTCTACCAGGGCTCATACTTTAGCACCAGGGTGACAAGTTAGTGTGACTTTACAAGCCCGTTCTAACACTTGGGAGTGGCTTTCTGGAGTGTTGAACTGAGAAGGATTTCAAAGACATGTTTATACTTAGTGGGAAAGGGGTCAATTGATGAAGTCTGCCATTGTGAGAAGTGCCCCTTTTTGCTTGTCTCTGGGAGTGAGACAGAGGAAGACAACCAAACTCCTCCCAGTTATTTTTGTGCTGCCCATCCTACCCATACCTCCATCATCTGCTAGAGTCTAACAGGTGAATCTAAAAATTGATCTAGTTCCCCATAGTTGGGGATATAATCCAATTTTTTTTTTTTTTTTTGAGATGGAGTCTTATGTAAGGTATGGTAGCTCATGGTAGCTCACGCCTGTAATCCAGGCACTTTGGAGGCCAAGGAGGGCAGATCATCTAAGGTTGGGAGTTCAAGACCAGCCTGACCAACATGGTGAAACTCCGTCTTTTAAAAATAAAGAAAAGGAAAAGAGATGGAGTCTTGCTCAGTCACCTAGGCTGGAGTGCAATGGCACTATCTTGGCTCACTGCAACCTCCGCTTTCCGGGAGGGATTAAGTGATTCTCCTGACAGCCTCCGGAGTAGCTGGGATTACAGGCACCTACCGTCATGCCTGGCTACTTTTTGTATTTTTGTAGAGTCGGGATTTCACCATGTCGGCCAGGCTGGTCTTGAACTCCTGACCTCAGATGATCCACTTGCCTTGGCCTCCCAAAGTGCTGGTATTTCAGGCATGAGCCACAACACCCCGCCAGAATCCAAATTTTTAGCAAGGCCTACAGACTCCTTTGGGAGCTGGTCCCTTTCTATTTCTCTCCCCATTCCCAATACTACTCTGTTCCTTCATAACTGCACTCTGACCAGTTAAGCTGCCAGTGTCCCTAAAGGTCCTCTGTGCTCTCCTGCTTCTCATTGTACCTCCAGTTCTCGATTTCTCAGTCCCTTCCAGCTCACAGGTCACCTCCTCCCCCAGGCCAGTCCACCTCCACCCCTACCCCGCAGGTATAGCTTTATCAGAGCATTCATCGTTTAATTGTTCACTGGCTTCTCTCTCCCCAGTGGCTATGAAGTCCTTTAAGAGTACAGCCTGTCCCTTTTTTCTACTTAACCCGACACAGTGCTTGGCATGGGGTATGTGCTAATATTTGGATGAATTAATGCACAAACCAACAAACGAACTGCCATTGATCTCCAGAGTTTTTCCAAGGATGATCTAAGTTGGTAGAGTTTGGATGCTACGGGTCGTGGCCTCTTTTTGCGTCACTCTTGCCTCCCACACTTAGAAAATGCTAGAGTCACTGCATTCCTTGACTTGCCTTTGGATTATGTTACTGGCTTTGAAAAGATTTTGTCACTTGTTATTTTAAGTTTATGTAATACAAATTCACAAGAATGTAGGAAAACCTTTCAGAAGAAGACTGAGTGTCAAGTTTGAAAGGTTGTATTTATTCAAGGTGGAGAGCAGAGGATCTCTTTTATTTCCTTCCCTTGACACAGGGGCCCAACACTGGTGGGCAGTTCGGGGTCCGCATTTTCATCTCTCACACTGATCTAGCATGGCCTGCTTTCAAAGGTATGGCAGGTCTGAAAATAGGCGGAGCCCTGCTCAATCATATCTAAACCTTTAGCTAACAATTGAATATCACCTCTTGCTTTAGATAGCCCAGGAGCACATCAGTTCTTTCTGTTCTTAGATGAGATAATAATATTATTTTTTGTGCGTTTCTTTCTTTTTAAAAAGTAACATACGGTCAGCCTTTCTATCTGTGGATTCTACATCCATGGATTCAACCAACCATGGATAAAAAAAAATTCAGAGAAAAAAAGAATGGTTGTGTCTGTACTGAACATATACATACTTTTTTTTTCTTGTCATTAGTCCCTAAACAATAACAACTATTTACATAGCATTTATATTGTATTAGGTATTCTAAGTAATCTAGAGATACGTACAGTGGGATTGCATAGGTTATATGCAGATGCCACATCAGTTTATTTTTTTGTTTTTGTTGTTTGTTGGTGGTTTTTTATTTTTTATTTTTATTTATTTATTTTTTTAGTCACTCTGTCACCCAGGCTGGAGTATAGTGGCATGATCTTGGCTCACTGCAGCCTCCTCATCCCCCGGCTCACGCAGTTCTCCTGCCTCAGTCTCGCAAGTAGCTAGAATTGCAGGTGCAAGCCACCATGCCTGGCTAATTTTTTTTTTTTTTCTGGTAGAGATGGGGTGTTGCCATGTTACCCAGGCTGGTCTCCAACTCCTGAGCCTACCTCAGCCTCCCAAAGTACTGGGATTATAGGCATGAGCCACTGTGCCTGGCCTGCTATGCCATTTTATATAAGGGACTTAAGTATCCATAGATTCTGGTATCTGAGAGGGGCCCTAGAACAAATCACCCACGAATACCAAGGGATGGCTCTGTACAGAATAGTGAATTGTTTGCTAACTGTTGAAGCTGGATGGTAGGGTCATGAGTATTCATTATACTGTTGGCTTCTACTTTTTTTTACATTTGAGAATGCCCATAATAAAAAGTAGAAAGAAAAGCAATGTATAGATATTATAGAAAGCTTAGGAAGTGCAAAAAGACATAAAAAGGAAAAAATAAAAACATTGATGACATTTGGTGAGTAAACCTGGTGTCTCTCTTCCTCTGTGTGGGTGGGAGCTTATGTACCCATCTATTCACATACACATACATATGCATATTGATCCAATTATCTATTGCTATGTAAAAAATCACCCCAAACTCAGTGGTATAAGACAACCATTCTATTATGCTTTAAAGATTCTCGAAAATTGAGACAGGACATAATGGGAATGGTTGGTTTCTGTTCCAAGGTTAGCCTCAGCTGAAAAGAAGCTAATGGCAAGGGGTTAGAATCATCTAGATGTTTCTTTACACGTGTCTAGATCCTGGACTAGAATGACTCAAAGACTGGGCTTAACTGGGAGTGTTAACCAAATAACTTGTATATGACCTCTCTGTGAGTTTTGGGCTTCCTTACAACATGGCGGCCTTGGGGTAGTCAGATACAGGGCTTCAAAATGAGTGTTCCAGTGAACAAGTCAGAGCTCTATGACTGTGTAGCCTCAGAAGTCACAGAGTGTCACTTTTACCATGCTCTATTGGTCAAAGCAGTCACTATCCTAGCCAGATTCCAGGGGAGGGAACATGGATCACTTCTCAGTGAAAGAGGATCAAAGCATTTGCAGTCATGTTTTTAAAACATGCATGTGTGCTTTTCCCTCCAAAGTTTTGGATTATGGAGGCATATACAGTATATTCTTATGTCCATTGTCTGTCTTCCTACTGATACATCAGTAAAATAGTAGACTTTCATAATTACGTAAAAATTAAAGAATCTGACAGTATGAATAAAGTCAAAAGATATATTATGGGGTGGGGGAAATATTTAGATTTATAACACATGACAAAGGACTAATACATTATTTAGGTTCAAAAACGTCATACATAGCACTGAGTCAAATGCGAATTAACAGTGAAACAGGTAATGAATATGAACGCCTAAGCCAAGGGGAGGAGAGAGAGAGAGAATGAATGAATGTGTGTGTATATAAAAATGTTTAACCAATATTTAAGTGAACAATGTTTTCATTTTTCATCTAGCATGTGGCAAAAATAATAAATAATGATTTTCATCTTTTTCTTAATTTTATTATATAGGAAGCAATCCTCCCACAGCAGTGTGACCCTGAAAGGTCATGTTTTAAAAAAAAAAGTTAAGTACAAAGGTCATTTAATTGTTTTACTTTAGCTGCTACAGGCCAGAGCAGATGGGCATTTCCAGCAGAGAGCCCTGCCTGCTGCCTTCCACACATGGAATAGACTCTGGCGAAGCCACCAGCAGGAAAACGTCCTCAGTGCAAGAGCTACACATTTTCACAGGTATGCTGTGCAGCTCCTGTCTGCACTGGGGCAGGTGTCTTAAATCCAACTCTGCCAACCACACAGCCCATCTGCTGTGCTTTTTAGCTTCCCAGACCCCAGGCCCTGGTTCTTCTTGCATTTTCAATAATGTGGGCTCATTGATTTCATCTAGCAGGAAAAGAGAAGACAGCATTTCCTCTGGGAAATCTTTCGTCCATCTTTATTGTGAGGGCTTTCAAAGCAGCCTGTTTGTAACTTTCATTACCAGCCACTGAGCGCTCCATTAAAGTGGCCCATTAGCATTGTGGATCAGAGCATGATGGGACCTTTCATGACCTTGGCAGGCATTCTTAAGTGTCATTTCCCCCAAACACTTAGTTCCAGTTCTGCTAGACCTGGCTTTTTGAAGTCTTGAAATTACAGTCATCAACAAAAGTAGAAAGGTCAGGCTGGGCGCAGTGGCTCATGTCTGTAATCCCAGTGCTTTGGGAAACCAACGTGGGCGGATCACAAGGTCAAGAGTTGGAGACCAGCCTAGCCAACATGGTGAAACCTCGTCACTACTGCAGATACAGAAAATTAGCTGGGTGTGGTGGCACACACCTGTAATCCCAGCTACTCGGGAGGCTGAGGCAGGAGAATCGCTGGAATATGGAGGTTGCAGTGAGTGGAGATCGAGCCATTGCCCTCCAGCCTGGGCATCAGGGTGAGACTCTGTCTCAAGAAAACAAACATTTAGGTCAAGGAGCAGAACTACATCTTTTTAGTTCCCACAGGGGTAGGTAAACTTGCCTACAGCAGGTTCTTACTACATGGTGGGATATAATGAAGAAATTATTTTTTTTTTTTTGAGACAGAGTCTCACTGTCACCCAGGCTGAAATGCAATGGTGCAATCTTGGCTCACTCCACCCTCCGCCTCCCAGGTTCAAGCGATTCTCCTGCTTCAGCCTTCCAAGTAGCTGGGATTACAGGTGGGCATCACCACTCCTGGCTAAGTTTTGTATCTTTAGTAGAGACGGTGTTTCACCATGTTGGCCAGGCTGGTCTTGAACTCCTGACCTCGTGATCTGCCCTCCTTGGCCTCCCGAAGTGTGGGGAATACAGATGTGAGCCACTGCTCCTGGTCTGTAATGAAGAAATTATTAATCACTAACTGCATGCCTGCCACTGTGATAGGCATTGTGTGATGGAAGACAGAAAACAAATACATAAACTCATTCTGTTCATGGCATCATTATCTTCATCAATAATTTCCTTTTCACAGCCACCTGAGAGATCAGGTTCAAAATGATAAATGGTAACACAACCAGTAAGTGGTGCAGCCAGGGTTTAAATTCAAATCTCCAGTTCCAAAGTCTAGGTGCTTTCTTCTTGATCAAGAGGAAGATCTTTTTGGTGACTTTGTAGGAGGGTGAAATTTTTATGAGAAGATAAGACTGACATACAAGAAACAACTGAGGAGGAATTTAAGAGAATAGATCCATGTGTCCTCAGTCATGTCAGCCACAAATTCTTCCAGAGCTCAGAGCTATTGCCAAGGGAGGCTGAGCATGGAAGTAACTGGGAGAGGCTTCCTGTGAGTGTGAAGGTGAGGATGGTGGCAGGAGTGGCCAAGATGGGGAAGACCAGACTGAAGGGATTGAGCTGACCCCATAGACAGATAATCAACAGGTATTTGAGCAGGTGCATGGAACTACTATTTAAGTGACAGTTTTGGAGATGACCTTAGGTTCAGTGTACTTTATCTTAGGACAGAGAGGTGAGATAGAGGGAAGTTGCATTGGGGGAAGTTGCAGTGATCTTAAATCTGGAGGATTTCAGGCCAGGTGCAGTAGCTCATGCCTGTAATCCCATCAGTTTGGGAGGCCGAGGTGGATGGATCATTGGAAGTCAGGAGTTGAGACCAGCCTGGTCAATATGGTGAAACCCCATCTATACTAAAAATACAAAAATTAGCTGGGCGTGGTGACACCTGCTTGTAATCCCAGCTGTTCTGGAGGCTGAGGCACAAGAATTGCTTGAACCCAGGAGGCAGAGATTACAGTGAGCTGAGATGGCACCACTGCACTCCAGCCTTGGATGACAGAGCGAAACTCCATCTCAAAATAAATAAATAAATAAAAATTGGGAGGACTTTGAATGCTAGATTGAGATTAGCCAGAACTCTGAGTTCCTTAGCACAAAGTCCAGGGAGACGGTTTTAGGTGGTGGCCACAAGAAATAGAGGGTGATGAGGGAACAGATCTTGTCTCTTCTGGCTTTTGCAGGCGGAGCAACTTTTCCTGTACCTAGTCCTGTATTGTAGGCTGGTATAAGATTCATTCAAAAAAATGGATGGCTGGGCACGGTGGCTCACGCCTGTAATCCCAAGGTGGGTGGATCACCTGAGGTCAGGAGTTCAAGACCAGCTTGGCCATCGTGGTGAAACCCCATCTTAAAAAAAAAAAAAAAAAGGCTTCAGGCTGGATGTGGTGGCTCACACCTGTAATCCAAGTACTTTGGGAGGCCAAGGCAGACAGATCACCTGAGGTCAGAAGTTCGAGACCAGCCTGACCAACATGGCAAAACCCCATCTCTAAAAATACAAAAATTAGCTAGGCATGGTGGCATATATCCCAGCTATTTGGAAGGCTGAGGTAGGAGAATCGCTTGAACCCAGGAGGTGGAGGTTGCAGCAAGCCAAGATCACACCACTGCACTCCAGCCTGGGTGACAGCAAGATTCCATCGCAGAAAAAAAAAAGTGGCTTCAGTACTTAAAACACACACACAGTACCTCTTTGTTCTTCTGCTAGTAAGTAGCCATGCTTGGTTCTATTTCTTTTTTGTAGTCTACATTATGTGAGAACCAAAAATTAAAAGTACCTTCAAAATAGCCAAAAGGACTATTTAAAGGATTTTTGCTAGGGGAGCAGTTTTGGGTGATTTTAGAGCTCTAGAGAAAAATGGTGGAGGGTGAGTTGGAGACAGGGTATAGCCAGGAGGCTTGCAGGGTGGTGTAGGCCTGATCTAGATTTTGTCCTGTTTTAGTTTGGTTGGACCTTTATAGAAAACTTAGGTTTTCAGATTCCTGTTTTCCTTGTTCATGAGCAGAATGATTGAGAGTCTGGCTTAGAAGCTGGACAGGCCTGAGTTCAGACCTGTGCCCTGCCACCTGCCAGCTCTGTGACCCTGGACAAGTCAGTCTGTCTCTCTGAACCTCAGTCTCCTTGAATGTAAAATTGAGATGATTTGGTCATAGTCTCTAACTCATATGGTTGTCATGAAAATGAAATGGGATAATACATGTAAAATAGAAGCCAAGGGCCTAGCACAGAATATTAACTATCCCTCAGTCCCTGGAGTTGATCTGTGAGTCTCATGATAAGTACATATTCAGAGGATTGGTACAGAGTTTAGCAAAATTAAAGTTCCAACTAAATATGTATCTTCAGTATTCTTAGGGTTTTAAAAAATGTTTTAGTAATATAGGCAGATTTTATGATGGAATCTCATGAATTATGACTAAAAATAATTTTATAACTGTCCAGTGTAAGGTACTAAGAATGAGACAGAATTAGTTTGTCATTATTTTGAGATAAAATGTGTATACAGTGAAACGAATAGATGTTAAAGTTTGATGAGTTTTCATAATTTATGCACCTGTATAATCAACATTCCAGTAAAGATGTAGAACATTTCCGTCACCCCAGAAAGTTCCTTCATGTCCCCTCCAGTCAAATCTCTACCCTGTATAGGTAACCAGTATTCTGATTTCAGTCATTGTAGACTAATTTTGTATTTTTTTTCTTTTTTTGTATTTATTTATTTATTTATTTATTTATTTATTTTTGAGACAGAGTCTTGCTCTGTGCCAGGCTGGAGTGCAGTGGTGCAATCTCGGCTCACGGCAACCTCCACCTCCTGGGTTCAAGCGATTCTTCCACCTCAGCCTCCTGAGTAGCTGGGATTACAGGCGCCCACCACCACGCCCAACTGATTTTTTGTATTTTTAGTAGAGACGGGGTTTTCACCATGTTGACCAGGCTGCTCTTGAACTCCTGACCTCAGGTGATCCGCCCACCTTGGCCTCCCAAAGTGCTAGGATTACAGGCGTGAGCCACCACACCTGGTGGAATATACCGAATATATATATTTTTTCCAGCCCTGCACCCTCCCCCCTCCTTTTTTTTTTAATGAACAGAAATGTTTGATTTCTGTTGGATTGATACAGTACAATTTATCCTTTTTTTATGGTTAGTGATTTTAGGGTCATTTCTAATAAATATTTGCTACTCCAGGGTCACAAAAGATACTGGCCGGGCGCGGTGGCTCATGCCTATAATCCCAGCATTTTGGGAGGCCGAGGCAGGTGGATCACGAGGTCAAGAGATCGAGACCATCCTGGTCAACAAGGTGAAATCCCATCTCTACTAAAAATAAAAAAATTAGCTGGGCATGGTGGCGCGCGCTTGTAGTCCCAGCTACTCGGGAGACTAAGGCAGGAGAATTGCTTGAACACAGGAGGCAGGGTTGCGGTGAGCTGAGATAGCGTCATTGCACTCCAGCCTGGGTAACAAGAGCGAAACTCCGTCTCAAAAAAAAAAAAAAAAGATATTTTCCTATATTTTATCTGGAAACTTTATAGTTTTAACATTTGCATTTAAGTCAATAATCATGTTGAATTTCTTTCTACATGTAGTATGACGTAGGAGTCAAGGTTTATTTTTTTTCTATATGTTTATCAGGTTTTTCCAGAACCATTTGTTGAAAAAACTTTTTATTCTCTCATTGAATTGTTTAGTTCATTTATATTTATCGTAATTACTGATATGATGGTTGGGCTCATGTCTACATTTGTTTTTGTTTCTCTCTCCCTTTTTTTTCTGCTTTTTTAATTTTATTTTTTAAAGATAGGGTTTCACCATGTTGGTCAGGCTGGTCTTGAACTCCTGACCTCAGGTGATCCACCCACCTTGGCCTCCAAAGTGCTTGGATTACAGGTGTGAGCCACCACGCCCGGCCTTTTTCTGCTTTTTAAGGGTTCATTAAAAATTTTTTTAGTATTCTGTTTCCTGCATCAACTTTTTAGCTCTATTATTTGTAGTTTTTAGATTGTCATTTCAGGAATTATAGTGTGCATCCTTAACTTATTGCAGTTGTATGTATGTATGTATGTATGTATCTCTCTGTCTGTTTGTGTTTTAGAGACAGGATCTTGCCCTGTCACACAGGCTGGAGTGCAGGGGTGCAGTGTTGGCTCACTGCAGCCTCTTCCTCCTGGGTTAAAGCATCGGCCTTCCAAGCATCTAGGACTATAAGTGTGTGCCACCATACCACACTAATTTTATTTTTTCTAATTTTTTGTAGAGACGGGATCTCACTATGTTGCCCAGGCTGGTCTCAAACTCCTGGGCTCAAGTGATTCTCCTGCCATAGCCTCTCACTGTGCTGGGACTCACTGTGCTGGGATTACAGGTATGAGCTACCATGCCTGGCCCAGTTCTGTTTAGAGTTCATAAACCATTTCATGTTTAGTGCAAGAACACAAAAACAGTAAAATTATATTTTGTTCCCATCCTTGATGATTTTTTTTTTTTTTTTTTAGAAATAAAGGTAGGTCTCCAGGGCCAGATTTTTTATTTAGAAATAAAAAATATTTCTAAATATTTTTTTAGAAATAAAGGGCAACACAGGGTCTCACTGTGTTGCCCAGGCTGGTCTTGAACTTCTGGGCTCAAGATATCCTCCCACCTCAGTCTCCCAAAGTGCTGGGATTACAGGAGTGAGCCACTGCTCCCAACCAATGATACTTTTTGTCATACATTTTATGTCTAACGATTAATTGTAGAGACAGAGTCTCTCACTCTGCTGCCCAGGCAGGTTTTAAACTCGCAAGTTCTGCCTCAGCCTCCTGAAGTGTTAGGATTACAGGCGTGAGCCACCATGCCAAGCCTACAATGTTATTTCTGCTTTAAACTATCAGTACTCTTTTTATAAATTGAGAGGAAAATGCAGACTTTTATAGTCACCCACATATTTTCCCTTTCCAGCGTTCCTTGTGTCTTCCTATACATTTGAGTGTTCATCGGTATCATTTCCTTTCAGCCTAAAGATGATCTTTTAGTGTTTTTATACTAAGGTCAACTGGGGTCAAACGGTCTCAGCCTTTGTTTCTGGTCTCTCCACTCTGGGGCCGGAGCTCCATCTTTCAACCCTGTCCAACTTCTGGTGTCTGTTGACCTCTTGGCCCTGCAGCAGTCACTCTCTGGTAGGCCTCCTGGAGTCTGCACATGTGGCCCTCATCTGAGGACCTGGGACAACCTCAGTAAATTCTGGGTGTTTCTTTCTATTCAGCTGTCTCCTTTCTAGTACCCTGCCCCCAAATTCCAGCCACTCTGGCAGTCACGAACTCGTCTTTGCCTCCTTAGCTCAGGAGACTGAGGGATGCTAAGCAGAGCCTCACTGTTGAGAAGGTGCCCCCAGGCAGAAAGTCTGGGTGGCCTAGGGGCTCACCTTGCCCACATCCTGTGTTTTAAGCGTCAAAATCTGTGCTTGCTGTCCAGCACCTGAAGACAGTTGCCACATATATTTTGTCTAGTTTCATCATATATAGCTAGAGGGCAGGTCCAGGACTGATGACTGTTCTGACTGGAAGTGGAGTCTTTGCTTTAAGTGATGTGTCTTGTTGTTAAATGTCAGGGGAGCAAGATCCCCCAGCGCTGAACATGGATCCTGTGGCCTCACCAATACGTAGCCCCTAGTGGCTGTGGATCAATTTTCCCAGCACTGCTGTTGGAGAATTCGATGTTGATCTGGTAGGCCTAGACAGAGATGGCAAAACAGTGGTTCCCAAACCTTTCTGCTTTTCTAATTCACCTGGAACACTTGTTTAAAATGCTGTTTCCTGAGACCCCGCCTCAGACCTGCCCAGTCAGCCTTAGGGGTCTTGCACTTGTTTTTCCACAGTTCCTCAAAGGGTTGGTGTAGAAGCAACTTGCTGGTCAGCATGCCTGGAAAAGACTCTCATGAACGATCCTTAATCAGTAGTTTTTTTTAAGTCAATGTAGAATTAATGAAGACCTGGGGTCTCAGGGTCAGAGTCTTTTTTGTATGGTGCGAATGCTTAGCTGATATCAGAAAAAAACTTGGAAAATGTTGGCCTTCTAAAAGTTACATTTTTTGAGCCGGGCGCTCAAAATGTGGCTCACGCCTGTAATCCCAGCACTTTGGGGGGCTGAGGCTGGTGGATCACGAGGTCAACAGATCGAGAAACATCCTGGTCAACAAGGTGAAACCACGTCTCTACTAAAAATACAAAAATTAGCTGGGCATGGTGGTGCGTGCCTGTAGTCCCAGCTACTCGGGAGGCTGAGGCAGGAGAATTGCTTGAACCCAGGAGGCGGAGGTTGTGGTGAGCCGAGATCGCGCCATTGCACTCCAGTCTGGGTATCAAGAGCAAAACTCTGTCTCAAAAAAAAAGGAAAAATCCAATTATTTGAAACTTGTAGTTCTGTTTGGGTTCATTTCTGTTTTTGTTTTAAGTGCTTTACATTTTTCCTTGTTTTTTTAGGGAGAAAGTAGAGAAGCAAGTATTTTCTATCTGGTGGCAGAAGATGGTACAGCATCGAGAAAACCGCTTGGCAGAGAGAATGGTAAATGGCTGTCCCTGTGGAGATTCCTGGAGGGGCAGGACCTCATTCAAGCCATTGTACTCATGGCCTCCCCTCCTCAGGAGGTCACTTGGCCTCACTGGAGGGCTTCTGCCTGTGACTCATGAGGCCAGGCAGGCTCTGGGGCATCTGTCCTTTCAGTGGAGCTTGTGGACAGCTTCTGGGCTGGACCACATCCTGATGTCCATTCCTTTTGCCTTGGTCATTATTTATGGCCTTTAAATTCTTTCCTGGCTTCTGTGCCTCTCTTCTACTTGACTTATTCTCTTCTCTCCTTCCTGTCCTGCCTCAGGCCATCCTTCACGCAGAGCGACAGCTTCTGCATAGGTCCTGGTTCACGTGGCACCAGCAGGCAGCAGCACATCACCAGGAGCAGGAGTGGCAAACAGTGGCCCGTTTCCACCACCGCTGCAGGCGGCTCAGGAAAGCTTTCTGCCTCTGGAGGGAAAGTGCTCGAGGGCTCAGAACAGAGTGAGTGGCTGAAAAGCCTTTCCACCCCAGGCCAGCTTTGATTGTTCAGCAGCACCGTCAGCTCCCAGTGCCTCTCTGGAGGATCACATTACCTCAGACTCTGGTTGTAAGTTCTAGAAATTCAACCTAGAAGAGTCTAAGTAAAATTAAATTGGAACAGCGGGATCTTGGGGTACCTCATGGAGCTTGCAGCCTCAGGAATTTGGCTGGGTACGGAAGTGCTCTGTGGATCTGGGAGGTTCTGCTCATTGGCCACAGCCTGCTTACACTTGGGACCCATTCGAAGTGACCATAGCCAGGTTGGGAGGCTGAGGCAGGTGATCACTTGAGCTCATGAGTTCAAGACCAACCTGGCCAACATGATAAAACCCTGGCCCTATTAAAAATACAAAAATTAGCCAGGTTTGGTGGCGCAAGGCTGTAATCCCAGTTACTCAGGAGGCTGAGGCATGAAAATTGCTTGAACCCAGGTGTTGGAGGTTGCAGTGAGCTGAGATCACACCACTGCACTCCAGCCTGGGCAACAGAGCGAGACTCTGCCTCAAACAAACAAAAGTGGCCATAGCCAGGGAATAAACTGATGGGCCCATGTTGTGATAGCTGACTGCTGCAGATATGGGATAGGGACCAGCAGCTGGCCAGTGGGTGGGCTGTAGCATTTTTAACCACACCATGTAGTTAGAGAGAGGAAGGTAGGCAGTCCATGTGTCCACTGCAGAGACTGTCCTGCTTTGGGGCCTTTCAGTATTCACAATGTGTTCTGAGGATTTCACTCCTTGTCATACTCTGGCCACATTTAACTATCTCCTCAGGCGGGAGCTTCACACCTGCACATGTGAGCTTCAATGGCACTTGAAGTCCTGGGAAGTTGTAGGCCAAATGTGATGAGATGTGCTTTTTTCTGAGAGTGCAAGTTCTTTGGCAGCTCTTCAGAGAGGGTCTAGGCTCCCCCAAAAACTTAACCAGGTAGGGGCCACAGACTGTGAGGAGGAGCCCACAGAGGGTGCCCTCGATGGGTGGGGGCAGCAGCATTGAGCTCTGGCATCTCTCCATAGGAGGATGGGCCGGGTGCAGGCAGCAGAATTCAATGCAGCCCAGCTCCTGCGTTGGGCCTGGAGCCAGTGGAGGGAGGTAAGGCATTGGTGCGGGTGCCACCCAGGCATGGCTTTTGAACATGTGGGCTGTGTGTCAGCAGGGCTTGCAGCCGACATGTGGCCAAACCACCTGAGCTGAAGGAAGAGAACAGGCAGCAGACGAAGTGTTAACTCAGTTTTATGAGATGATTGGCTCAAAATACTGTGTTCTTCCAGATACCAGGCTGTTCTTATTTGAACTTACTTCATCTAAAATTCCTGATCTATTTACAGGAGTCCTGCTGAGAGTAAAAATGTTTAAACTCACATTAATTGAGCATTTACCACAAATCAAGCACTTGCCTCATCCAGTCCTCACAGAACCCCTAAGAAGCGCGTATTTATAGATGAGGCCAGAGGGGTTAAGTAATTTACACTCACACAGATGAAGTGTAAAATGGAGGCAAAGCAGGAAGCCACCCCCAAGTGGGCCCCCAGCCCACAGTAGCTGCTTTCTTCTCTGTCTGCAGTGCCTGGCCCTGCGGGGAGCGGAGCGGCGGAAGCTGATGCGAGCGGAGCTGCACCACCAGCACACGGTGCTGCTCAGGGCGCTGCAGGCGTGGGTGGTAGGAGCTGCTGCTTCCCTCCTGAGCTCCTTGCTGTGGGGACAGGGGAGGTTTCTGGAGACTCTGTTTCCCTTCCTTGTTCTTCCTGTCCCTCCCACAACAAAGTGATGTGACAAACCTGAAACCAGCAAGTGCCTTAGCGAGGCCCTGGGACTCAGGCCTCAGGTTCTTCGGTTCTTGCTGGGCCAAGTGGAAACAAGTGCTGCTGGTGGGCCCCAGCCTTGAGGGGAAAGCAGCTCCTTGTCCAGGAGTCCTGGGGTTTGACTTAGGAGGTGAGGGCCTATGGGACAGTCTTCTCCCTGTCATCTGGGAGGGTCTGCTGGCCCTGGGACTAAAGGCTGTTGGCCTCTCCCTGCCCTTTTTGAATGCTGTGGCAGCCTTGTGGTAGAGGCACCTCTGAGGCCTGCCTAAACAGGGAGAAGTGTGGACCCAGGGGCAGCCTCCAGTCCCCCTTGTCCCCCTTGTCCCCCACAGACTTATCAGGGCAGGGTGCAGAGCATCCTCCAGGAGGTGGCAGCCAAGGAGAGCCAGCACAACAGGCAGCTGCTGCGGTGAGTCTCCCAGGCGCCTCCCAGGCTCTGGCCGGGAATGAGGAACACACTCCAAACCCCAGCGTTTTGGGGGGGTCCTGCTGAGGGCCAGGGATGATCCCAGGTCCCTAGTACCTAATATCATGGTCTTGGCTTTTCCGCTTCACTCATGAGTTCACCTTCATTTGTCTTAAGCCCCTGCTGTGTACAGGGCAGGCCCTGGAGAGCAGCTGTCACCTGCATGCCTGGAAGCCCACTTGTCTTGCTCTTCTTAGCAGTTTTTCCTCCCTGCTTCATACCTGCAAGATTCAGGGGTTTGCAAAGCTTTGCAAGATTCAGTTTTGCAAGAGATTCGCCTTGTCATCTCTTCCACTCCAGAGGCTGCAGTGGCTCCCTTTCCTATCAATTTCCAGGCATTCCCCTTCCCGCTTGCTCTGCAGGCCTGTCTCTGACTTCAGAGTCACCTCTAGTCCCTGTCGGACCATCTGCACCACGCACTCCTGTGGAGGGTGCTTATGCAGCTTCGTCCCCTTTTTCTAAGCCAAACTCTAACCTCCCTCCTTCCCAGTAGTCTTCCCACATGCCCCTTTCATTTCCTTCCTTTGTGTTTGTTCAGCACATGATTGATAATCCAGGTGGCCTCTGGGCAGTGGTTTTTAAACGCCTCCATCCTTAGCTGGGCACATTGGCTCACACCTGTAATCCCAGCACTTTGGGAGGCTGTTTGAGTCCAGGAGTTTCAGACCAGCCCGGGCAATGTAGCAAGACCTTGTCTGTACTAAATATAAAAACAGCCAGGGATGGTCATGTATGTCTGTGGTTCCAGGTACTTGGGAGTTTTAGGTGGGAGGGTCACTTGAGCCCGGAGGTCAAGGCTGCAGTGAGCCATGATCATGCCAATGCATTCCAGCCTGGGCAATGTAGTGAGATCCTGTCTCTAAAAAGTAAAGAAATAAAATAAATGCCTCCATCCCTCATATGGGGTCCCACAGAGCACCCATCCTGCTCTTCAGATAGAGTAGAATAGGCAAAAGGAACTCCCCAAGCTAACTCAGCAGCAAGCTGAGGCATAGGCAACCTTCCTCCAGGTCCCCTGCCTCTCCACACTTCTCTTATCACAGTGTGAGTCACCTGTGTTGCCACTGCCGGATTACGCCCTGTTATCCCCATAGCACCTGGAGTTTGGTCTCCAGCAGTGCTGGGTCCCTCATGCACTCTCGGTGCCCAGCCCAGAGCAGCTGCTCAGTAGCCCTTTGTTGGACGTAGATATGCATGTAAACATGGGTGTTGGTCAAACATTCTTAGGCATAGAGTCCCTGACTCAGGAGCAGGGGAAGAGGGGGAATGATTCACAGAAGCCTCCCTTCTCTCTCCATCCTGGTGTCATCTGCCCTCCCGACGACACCCATGCACCTACAGGGGGGTGTTACGTCGCTGGAAAGAGAACACCATGGCCCGCATGAATGAAGCCAAAAAAACCTTTCAAGCAAGTACTCATTACAGAAAGACCATATGTTCCAAGGTGAGGTATATGGAGGCAAGCTGGTGACCCAGGAGGGTTCGGGACTATGTTCTGGTGAGGGCATGGGGGGGTGGTACTAGAGATTTAAACTGAATAAGGAACCCAGAAAATGGGCAATTTTCCTCCAGCACATACAGAAACATCCATGTGGGCAGGTATTTAGTTTTTTAATGAATTATAAACCAATATGCATTAAAATAGAAATATAACACATCATAAGTGAAGTGGTTCTTATCGGAACCCAGAACCAGTATTTGCCTTTTTTTTTTTTTTTTTTTTTTTTTTTTTTGAGACAGTCTTTCTGTCACCCAGGTTGGGGTGCAGTGGTGTGAGCTCAGCTCACTACAGCCTCCATCTCCTAGGTTCAAGCAATTCTTTTGCCTCAGCCTCCCAAGTAGTTGGGACTGCAGGCATGTGGCACCACGTCCAGCTAATTTTTGTATTTGTAGTAGAGATGGGGTTTCACCATGTTGGCTAGGGTGATCTTGAACTCCTAACCTCAGGTGATCCACCTGCCTTGGCCTCCCAAAGTGCTGGGGTTACAGGCACTTTGAATCTAAGAGGCAGAGGTTGCAGTGAACTGAGATCGCACCACTGCACGCCAGCCTGGACAACAGAGCAAGACTGTCTCAAAAAAAAAAAAAAAAAAAAAAAAGAAAACTCCAAAGCCAGCCTGTGCCTCCCTTCCCCTGGAAGGAGAACACAGGAATCTTTGCTTGGCTTCAGAGCTTGAAGAGGAGGCATTTTTAGTGGGAATGGAGTTCATGACAGTTTGCAGGCAGGCACCAGGCTTCCCCTGGGCAAGCATTTTGTTACTGTGATTTTGTAGGCATCACTCATACAGAAGAGTGGATACAACATATGTGGTTCCATTTAATAGATAGTAATAGAGGCTGGGTGTGGTGGCTCATCCCTTTAATCTCAGCACTTTAGGAGGCTGAGGTGGGTGGATCACTTGAGGTCAGGATTTTGAGACCAGCCTGGCCAACACAGTGAAACCCCATCTCTACTAAAAATACAAAAGTTAGCCGGGTGTGTTGGTGCATGCCTGTAATCCCAGTTACTCAGAAGTCTGAGGCAGGCGAACTGCTTGAACCTGGGAGGTGGAGGTTGCAGTGAGCCGATATCACGCCATGTACTTCAGCCTGGGTGACAAAGTGAGACTATGTCTCAAAAAAAAAAAAAAAATTTTATGGGTGGGCGTGGTGGCTCATGCCTGCAATCCCAGCACTTTGGGAGGCTGAGGCAGGTGGATCACACAGTCAGGAGTTTGAGACCAGCCTGTCTAATATGGTGAAACCCCATTTCTACTAAAAACAAAAATTAGCTGAGCGTGGCAGCACCTGCCTGTAGTCCCAGCTACTCGGGAGGCTGAGGTAGGAGAATCGCTTGAGCCCGGGAGGCAAAGGTTGCAGTGAGCCAAGATCACGCCACTGCACTCCAGCCTGGGCAACAGAGTGAGACTCCAGTCACAAAAAAAAAAAAAAAATTATATACATCTATACACACACACACACACACACGAATGAATGAAGACCCATGTGATGACTTCAGCACTTTTTGGTATCGTATGATATGTAAATCCTGGTAGAAAAGTCCCAGCAGCCGAGATGCTGGCTTCCTGTGAGGGGCTGGGGCCCTGTCCTATTGCTCAGTAGTCTGCATGGATGGCGGGTGCTTCTTGCACTGTGTGTGAGAAACAAATGGCAACAGCTTGGCCTCGCCTCTCCAGGAGGTACCATCACAGACCTGGGGTGGCCCCAGAACCCAGGAGGTGTAACTTGCTGTGCTCCTTGCCTGCCCATAGGTCCTGGTCCAGTGGCGGGAGATTGCATCAGTGCAGATATATTACCGACAGCAGGAGGACCATGCCATCTGGGAGGCCCGGAAGGTGCTGGCTAGGGGTAAGTGGGGCCCCCAGAAGCAAGTCATGTTGAGGAATGTGAAGACAGTGCTGTTGTGGAGATCCCTGTAGTCCCATATGCTCTGTCTCCTCATATATGCCAGTTTTCTGTGGTTGCCCTGACAAAGTGCCACAGACTGGCAGGCTTCAGACAACACAGAATGACTCTCTCAGTTCTGGGGCCTGGCAGTCAGAGACAAAGGTGTGTCCAGGCTGTGCTCCTCCCCAGGCTCTAGGGAGGGGCCCTTCCTTGCCTCTCCTAGCTTGCTTCTTGCTGGTCATGGCTTTCCAGGACGTGTAGACCCATTGCTCCAGGCTTTGCCCCATCTTGACATGTCATTCCCATCCTGTGTCTCTGGGTCCCTTAGAAGGACTGTGGTCATATCGGATGAAGGGTCCACCCTACTCAAGTATGACCCCATCCTAACCAATTACATCTGCAGCAAGCCTAGTGCCAGATAAAATCACGATGTGAGGGTCCAGCAAGGGCATGAATATGACAGGTCTGGAGGGGGCACTGTTCAGTCCATCCTAGAAATCTGTTCCCAACTGATTGCCAACCAATTTATGTTCAAATGAAAGCTAGAGCTTGAGGTCTACAGAGAAATAAGAGAAGTTGGACTGGAATTCAGGGTGGGTGGGGAGGGGGTTGTTTTCATGGGAAAGTCCTTGCTGCTTGTCAGGTCAGCCCCCACTGTGTTAGGGTCCTGCTTCCTTGTCTAGCTGGGCCCTTGAATATTTAGGGGCCAGAGACTTTCTAATTCGACCTCAGGAAGTCCCACTGCCTGCTGTGGGACTTTGGAAAGATTGCCGGGCACTGTGGTGCACACCTTGTAGTACCAGCTACTCAAGAGTCTGAGGTGGGAGGATCACTTGAGGCTACAATGAGCTGTGATGACACCACTGCACTCCAGCCTGGGAGACAAAATGAGACCCAGTCTCTTTTTTTTCTTTTTCTTTGAGACAGTCTCACTCTGTTGCTCAAGCTAGAGTACAGTAATACAATCTTGGCTCACTGCAACCTCCTCCTCCTGAGTTAAAGCGATCCTCCTGCCTCAGCCTCCCAAGTAGCTGGGACTACAGGTATGTGCCACCATGACCCGCTAATTTTTGTATTTTTAGTAAAGCAGGGTTTCACCATGTTGGCCAGGCTGGTCTCAAACTCCTGACCTCAGGTGATTCATCTGCCTCAGCCTCCCATAGTGCTGGGATTACAGGTGTGAGCCACTGTGCCTGGCTGGGAACCCAGTCGTTTTTAAAAAATCTTTGGAAAGGTAGTCTAGAACAGGAGTCTTTGCCCCTGCTTGCAGGATGCACAGACTAGTGGCACACCCGTGGGGAGCTGTCTCCTAACAGCTAGGGTTCCCCTAGTCTCAGAGTGTCAGGAGAATCTGACACTCTGAACGGAACAGTTTATTTGTAGAATAAATGAAAATATAAACAAAAATGGAAACAATTAGAAATTGTTTAAATTGGCCTACAGAGAAATTGACCAAGTTGTTAGGTTGGTTTAATAGAGTTTGCTCTAGGACAAAACCGAATCAGCTTTGGTTTGCCTCTGACTGTAGCATGTATGTTAATGAGCATGTTTCAACACGCGTCCTGGGGACAAAACCCTGGGGTCAGCCATCCTGCTTGGCTGTATTACTGTACTACAAACATGCTGCTGGGTCCTCAAGCTCCTCCTCAGCTCAGAAACCAGCACTGTGTTTCTAGTTCACTAAGAAAGAAGCCAAGAGGTTTAGCCAGCCCTTGGGCTCTGGAGCTTCTGCAGCTGACTCTTTGGGCACCTTACCCTGCAGCATCGAGCTGCAACTGCAGACTGGATTCTGGTTAGTTTGGGTCAGCTGCCTTAAGGGTCAGGTGCCCACTCCTGGCTGTGGTGGGAAGTTAGAGGTGACGGATTTAAGTGCAGCCCGAAGCTGCTGCTTTCTGAAGGACTTTCCTTAGAAGGAGGTGGTGGCAGGCTTGGATTGCCACATCCATTACAGATGGTATGAGGAACTTGGGAGACTGGACAGCGAGACAGTGTACACGGGCCAGGCATGGTGGCTCATGCCTGTATCCCAGTGCTCTGGGAGGCCGAGGCAGGCAGATCATAACATGAGGTCAGGAGATTGAGACCTCACATCCTGGCCAACATGGTGAAACTGTCTCTCCTAAAAAAAAAAAAAAAAAAAAAAAAAAAATTAGCTGGGTGTGGTAGAGCGTGCCTGTAATCCCAACTACTTGGGAGGCTGAGGCATGAGAATCAGTAAGAGAGCCAAGAATGTGCCACAGCACTCCAGCCTTGTGACAGAGTGAGACTCCATCTCAAAAAAAAAAAAAAAGCATACACATAGTAGCTATACAGTAAATATCTGGGAAACAGTTGCCTGGCTTATTTTAAGGCTTTGGTGTCTCAGGCACACCTTGGCAGGCCATGGGTGGGGTTGGGTGCTGGGAGGAGGGACCAAGGGGAGGATGTCACAAGACTCATTATGCAGGGTGCTGAAGGTGCAGGCTGGGGGTCATAACCTGGCTCTGTGTGGCCTCCAGCAGGGCCCCCTTTGTGAATCTCAATGTCTCCATCTGTAAAATGGGGATAACAGAGCCTACCTCTTGGGGTTGTTGTGGAGATAAGTGAGATGACAGGTAGATACACACTTAGGGCAGAGCCCAGGCGTCAGCAGGCAGCATGAACATAGGTGCTTCCTACTTGTGATCTGCTATCTTCCCTGCCTGCTCCAGTGGGTCCCGGAGAGCTCCTCATCTTGGCATCTGTGCCCTGCTCTCAATCCTGTTCTGTTGCCTCACAAAGGAAGTTCTCTCAGGGCCCAAGAAAGATTCATCAAAGGGAGAATCTGGTGACACAAAAGCAAAATGCAGGATGTGGCCCATGCTGCAGAGCCCAGGCAATCAGAGGACGTGGCTTGGGCTGGTCTGACTACTCTGACTAGGCCTTGGTTTCCATCCTGGCAAAACGGGCTGCTGTCTCCTTCAAGCTACAGCTCAAGTGGGGCTCCTTCTCCTCCCTCAGATGGAGGGTCTTCTTCCACATGCCCAGAAGCATTTTGCATGTGACTCTGAGGGGGCCCCTGGTACTCCATAAGGCTGTGAACAGGCTTATGGCTCTGGGAAGGCCCTTGGGGAGAACAACAGTAAACAGATCTGATTCCACTCCCCAGGGGGTTCACTGTCGGCAAAGGTGGCCAGAGAGGGGCATGGAACACGTGGTGGTTTTACCATGTGGGCTGGACACCCGAATTCTATCCACACATAGCCACCTCTGCTGTCTGCACCTTCACCATTACATAGTCACTGGTGAAAATCCCACAAAACAGCAAACTCTGGCTTGGCTCTGCCTTAGGTTGTCTCCGGACCTGGTTTCAGCGCTGGCGGGACTGCAGCCGGAGGTCAGCCCAGCAGAGACTGCAGCTGGAGAGGGCAGCCCAGCACCACCACCGGCAGCTGCTACTGGAGGGGCTGGCCCGATGGAAGACACATCATCTGGGGTGTGTCAGGAAGAGGGTGAGGCCAACAGTGGCAACTCTCCAAGATCCCCCTGCCTGGCAAGGAGTGTCCAGTCCGGAGACCATTTCTCAGGAAGGGATCTCTCCAGGCAGCCGATATGAGTGGTGGGTGATTTGGGGTTCTGTAGGACAAGGCTGCAGGAGGCTTTCCTGGGCATTTAGTGGAGACTGGGGGGGTTGTCAGCCCCAGAATCCATTGTCTCCCAGGGAAGATGGCTTAGCAGAAAAACCTGGTTCCTGCTGACCCTCGGCTTATCAGTGCTGGGGGACCTACAGAGTCCCCTAGGGACTCCCTGGCTGTGCAGGAGACCTCTGGCACCATCCAGCAGCCCTGGCAATGGGAGGACATTCAGCTGGGCTGGAAGCCTCACCCTGAGGCTGGGTTAGGTCAGGACCCACCCCAGGCCGTCTAGACTAGTCACACTCTCTGCACTTGCTCTCCCCCAGCTCCTGCACAGGCAGAGCACCCAACTGCTGGCACAGAGACTCAGCCAGACCTGCTTCCACCAGTGGAGACAACAGGTAGGAGCCCAGGAGATGTCCCCTCCATACTCCCTTCTTCCTCTGGCTTGTGAGGCCCAGGCAGTGAGTGACCTTCTAGTCACTCTAGCCCACACCTCTTGTTCAGTATTTTTACTGTCACTCTCCCCAGGGCCACCTCTTCTACCACCTTCCAGTCATTTCCTGGCACCATCAGCTTTCTTCCATCTGTAGCCTGCATAAGACCAGTAACTCCAAGGCCTGGTTTCTCTACACTGTGTATTAAAAAATACGTCAGTGGGCTAGGCGTGGTGGCCCACACCTATAATCCCAGGACTTTGGGAGGCCAAAGCAGAAGGACCACTTGAGCCCAGGAGTTCAAGACTAGCCTGGGCAACATAGTAAGACCCTATCTCTACAAAAACAAAATAAAAATTAGCTGGGCGTAGGTAGTGCGTACCTGTGGTCCCAGCTATTTGAGAGGCTGAGGCGGGAGGATCGCTGGAGCCCAGGAGGTCGAGGTTGCAGTGAGCTGTGATCATGCCACTGTACTCCCGCCTGGATGAGAATGAGATTCTATCTTAAAGAAAAAAAAATCAGTCCAGGCACAGTGGCTCACGCCTGTAATCCCCACACTGTGGGAGGCTGAGGTGGGTGGATCACCTGAGGTCAGGAGTTTGAGACCAGCCTGGCCAACATGGCAAAACGCCGTCTCTACTAAAAATACAATTAGCTGGGCATGGTGGCATGTGCCTGTAGTCCCAGTTACTAGGAGGGCTGAGGCAAGAGGATTGCTTCCAGCCTGGGCAACAGAATGAGACTCCATCTCAAAAAAAAAAAAAAAAAGCCAGGCAAGGTGGCTCACATCTGTAATCCTGGAACTTTGGGAGGCCAAGGCGGGTGGATCACGAGGTCAGGAGTTCAAGACCAGCCTGGCCAACATGGCGAAACCCCATCTCTACTAGAAATAGAAAAATTAGCTGGGCATGGTGGCATATGCCTGTAATCCTAACTACTTGGGAGGCTGAGGCAGGAGAATTGCTTGAACTGGGACCCAGGAGGTGGAGGTTGCAGTGAGCTGAGATCGTACCACTGCACTCCAACCTGGGCTACAGAGTAAGACTCCATCTCAAAAAAAAAAAAGCATAATATCTAAAAATTATATGAAATGTGTTTTAAGGCTTTGCTGGGATCTCGATAAAAAGCCAAGAGGGATCGTGCAGAGCAGCGCCTCACGTCACCAGCTTCCTCTTCCCGCCCTGTTGTCCTGTTCCCACCATTCCAGGGACCTCAGCCCACTGCCTCCACATATCCTCCTGCAGGAGCCCTTTGCCACCTTCTTTCTTAAAAGTCCTTCCTTGGGCCACAGATGGAGCGTGTGTTGAGCACCTCACAGCCAGGCATGGGGCTGGCCTTTCCTAGTGGAGTAAGGGGAGCCTCAATTAGAGAGAGGAACGAACCGTGCAGGGCCCTGTTATCAGCATGGCCTCACTGAAGGGGCGATGGGGAAATGATCTGGTCTTTCTGGCCCTAGCTGGCAGCCAGGAGGCAGGAGCAGCAGGCGTCAGTGCGGGCCCTGTGGTTCTGGGCCTTCTCACTGCAGGCAAAGGTAATTGGGACTCTGCATCCTGCCATCCCTGCCTCTCCCTCAGGCCTAAGCCCTGCCTTGGGTGGAGGGAGGGCACCTGGTCTGTGGGGGAGTCCTAAGCAGGGAGACCTGGGCCTCACCTCCTGCCCTTCCTGGAGGTGTGGGCCACGTGGCTGGCCTTTGTGCTGGAAAGGAGGAGGAAGAAGGCACGGATGCAGCAGGCGTTCCAGGCCTACCAGGGGCAGCTCCTCCAGGAGGGTGCCATGCGGCTCCTGCGCTTTGCAGCCGGGATGAAGGCCTCTCGGCAGCAGCTGCAGGCCCAGCAGCAGGTCCAGGTAGGTCCAGGGCACTACCCCTTCTTGTGAGAAGCAGGCAGGGTGTGGCATGAGCTGACTGGAGGCTGTGTTGCAGGCGGCTCACAGTCTCCACCGTGCTGTCCGCCACTGTGCCACACTCTGGAAACAGAAGGTGCTGGGCCGGGGCAGGGAGCCTCAGCCCCTGGCACCCATCACACCCAGCAGAAAAGTGACATTTGAGGGTACCCTTCTCAACCGCATTGCTGCTGGGGCTGGGGATGCCACCCTGGAGACTAAGAGGCCACAGGCTCCTTGGTCTCAGGGAGCTCTGGGCCGCCTGGCTGCTAGGGAGCCCCATGCCCTGGAATTGTGAGTACCCCCATTCTCACCTTGTCTTCCTCACTCCCACCTTGGGCAGAAGTTTGGATGGCATATCAGGGAGGGAAAATGGGCCCTGACAGGGGATGGGATGGGCTGCTCATGGTCTTGTCACAGCTGAGCTGCTGGGAAACCCCTGTTGTCCAGCCAGATCCCATCCCTCCCACAGCAAGGGGGAGAGATTGGAGTGGGATTTCCAGACCCTCTCTCCTCCTGCCCCCTCCCGTCCTGCTGACATGATCTTTTTCGAGTCATACACGAGTTGACAAAAGGAACAAGCTCAGCTCCTGCCTGCGCCTGCCAGTCTCTCTCCTGCTCCCTCAAAACCAAGACACTGGTTTTTTTGTCAGAAGCCTCTCATTTTTGTGTGAGCTGGCACCTATCCCTCTGCCCACCCCTTCTATGGTCTCAAACCCTAATCTGCCCTGCCCTGTGCTGGTGAAGCTGGTGGCTCCCACAGCAACCAGTGCTGAGAGCCTTGGGCCTCAGGGATCTCAGGTGGGTGCATGGGGTCTGGGCCCTGGTCCCTGCTTTGCCCCTCACTGCCTGACCTTGATGGGAACCTGAATGTCTCAAGCTGCTCCCCTGTGACATGGACTCTGGTGACCTGTACACCTGCGTCACCAGGGTTGCTGTGCAGGTCAAAAGAGACAATGTGGGTGAAGCACCTCCTGGCATCAGGTACCTTTTGTTGGAAATGCTGGGAGCTCTCTGGCCCAGGCCCACCCCAGCTTACTTGCTGACCTTGGCCTCGCCTTCTCTGACCTTTAGTCTCCCTATAAAATTGGAAGGGTCTGACTAGTGACTCCCCATCTCACAGAGATCTCAGACCCCCTGCAGCCCTTGGTCAGCCCAGGGGAATAGAACCTGTTTCAGGCCGGGCATGGTGGCTCACACCTATAATCCAAGCACTTTGGAGGCCAAGGCGGGTGGATCACCTGAGGTCGGGAGTTCAAGACCAGCCTGACCAACATGGAGAAACCCTGTCTTAAAGAACCATGTTTCTTCCCAGCAACACTGCCCACTCATCGAGGAAGCAGCCGCGACGCCCACACTTCCTGCTGGAACCTGCGCAGGGCCAGAGGTCCCTGGAGGGTGGCACCATGGGGAGGCAGGGGTAGGTGGTCAGGGGGCCCCAAAGGCAGCTGGCACCTCCATCGGGGCCTGTGTTTTGCCAGCCCTAGGGTGAGTGGCCCCCTTTCCTTCTTGTTCTTTGGTCCCAGAGGAGGGTCCTGTGGCCTGACCACACTTTTGCCTTCCCTCTGCTCAGGCCTCAGAAGCTGCAGGAACATGGCCTAGGCATGGCTGAGCCAGCAGGTCCCTCCCTGACACACCCCTTCCTGGCAGAGGCCCCGACAGCACCGGTCCCACACAGCCCCCTGCCTCGGGCCCTGTCCAGTGCCCCTGGCCCAAAGCAGGCCCCGACAGCAAGCACGGGCCCGGAGCTGCTGCTGCTGCCTCCTTCCTCCTTCATGCCCCATGGGGCGGCTGCACCAGCCAGGGTATGTCTTCCACCAGCAGGCCTGGGTACTGGGTTCCCACTCTTTGGTCTGGCCTCTGGTGCTATTTCTCATACCACAGCTGTACTCAGTTTTTCTGGAAGATCTTGGCACAGGGAGGCCATTCATCCATTTGACAGGCGTAGGTACCCACCATATACCAGGTCCAAGGATCACAGCAGTGAACAGCCTGTCGAGGGCCCTGCCATCCTGAAGCTTATATTCTAGGCAGAGACAAGCCAAGAAAAACCCCTGCCTGCAGACCAGTAAAGAGGCTGCAGATCATGTAGGGTCCTGCAGGCCACGGTAAGGAGTAGTCTGGGGTTTGAGAGGAGTAGAAAGTCGGGGAAGGGTACTGGCAGGGAGCACCGTGTCAGGTTTCTGTGCAGGCTCTGGTCACCATGACCATGTGGTCCAGGCAAGCAATACTGGTGGCCTGGGCTCAGCGGTCACCATAGAGGGGACAGATACTCTCTTGGAGGCAGACAAGGCAGGGTGTGTTCTGAGGGATTTGTTGAGTGAGGGGAAAGAAGGAATGCAGGCTGATTTGGGCTGCTGACTTGAATAACTTGGGGAACAGTGGTTCCTGGAAGGAGGAACTGGGGGGTGGGGACTGGTTTTGGGTGAAGCATCAAGGGTCTGTTTTGAAACCAGGCTCTTGATGTCAAGCTTGAGAGAACGCAACCATTGAGTCTGACCTTCAGGGGAGAGGTCAGGGCCAGGGATCAAGAATCCTCAGCACAGCCACGGCAGTCTCTAGGAGGAGAAAGGGGTCAATACTCCAAGCGGGGAGCCTGGGCAGGGACAGCCAGAGAGTGTGAGTTCAGTGATGGAGGTGACAGCTGCTGTTAGGCCACCAAAGATGCTGGTTCCTGAATGGGGCTGAGGGAACAGGAAGGAGCCAGTTCCTGTGGTGAGTTTGGCCTTATGAGGCCACTGGCCCTGGCTAGAATGGGGTGTGGGTTTGAAAGGGTTTTGACCCCTGTCTGGTGATGGAAGGGGCAAGTCTGCTCTCACCAGGAGAGGAGGGCATGGAGGAGGCTGTGGAGTACTGGCCTTTCACTGACCACTTCTCACATCAAAGCTCAGCAAGGTCATGAACTCAGAGCAAGGTAGGGCTGGAGGGTTGAGTAAGGCTAGGAACAGCTGCTCAGGCAGTGGAGGCGGGAGGCAGACTGTGACGATACGGGGTGCTCTTGGATGCTTGTGAGACTTTCTTCTACAGTAGCAGGCCCTGCGTGAGCTGGCACAGCCACTGCTTGGAAAGCCCAGCTCCTGCAGCTGGGGCCTGGTCTTCCCCAACCCCTGCAGGGCAGGCAGTGCCCCCTTCCCAGCTTCCTCCTAGCTTCCCTGCTAAGCATCCACTCTTCTTTCCTTTGCAGGTGTCAGCACAGCCAGCTACTCCTAGGCATATGCCCCAGGTCCCCCCATCCCTGGCCAGTGTCCCTGGCCCCCACCCACTCCTTCCTGGGGACTTCTCAGGCATCGGGGCTGGGCCTCGGCTTTCAACTGCAGGTGTGTACCCTGAGGCCTGTCAGGGCAGCAAGCTCTCAGGCCACTCCTGGACCTGGGACTTGCTGTTTACCCTGGTCCCAGACAAGAAAATGGTCTGAAACCAGCTCACTCCCATCACCACAGGCTGCCTGGACCTTGAGGCTGAACTTGAGGGGATCCAGCAACAACTACTGCACTACCAGACCACCAAGCAGAACCTCTGGTGAGCCCTGCAGAATGCCTGTGGCCCCGGTCACGGGAGGAGGTGTTGCCTGGAAAGGTGGGCGGGAGGCTTCATTTCCCCGGCCAGCTGCCAGGGTCCTGTGGGTGGTCTTGGTCTAGCCACAGAGGGTTGTGGGGAACCCTCAGTGTGTGCTGTCTAGAAGGACCCCGTCTCCACCATGGCCCTCGACCCAGCTCAGTACTGCTTAGGAAGGCCCAGGTCAGCCTCACCTGGACAGAGGCCCTCTTCCTAGGGCAGGATTACTAAGTTGAGCAAAACTCTAAACTCGATGAGGCCATGCTGTCCCCAGTAACTAACCAACACTGATATTAAAGGTGCAGAGGAGACAGGCCAGCTGCACTCAGTAGTCTGGGGGCCATCAACATGCAGTGGCCTCAGAGTTTCGAGGGCAACAGACTGGTGCCCTCATCCTTGGCTCCGCACCGGGAAGAGGGACAAGGAGTGTGTTTTCGCCCAGGCCTACCTGAGCTGCTGTCTGCTGGGGAGGGTGGAGGAGGCTGGGAGAGGAAAAAGAACAAGTGTTCAGCTCCCAAGTGGGGGCCTGCAGCTCAGGGGAGGGGGCCCTACCAGACTACCTGATCCCCACATCAGAATTAGCTGAGGTGCCTCTCCCTGAGCCGGAGGGGGCTCCCATGAGACTGCCAAGAACCCAGCCTGACAGGCAGCGGATATCTCTACCCCTCAGGTCCTGCCAGCGGCAAGCAAGCAGCCTTCGCAGATGGCTGGAGCTGAACAGAGAGGAGCCCGGGCCTGAGGACCAGGAAGTAGAGCAGCAAGTGCAGAAAGAGTTGGAAGAGGTGAGGCCCCAGGCCACCCCCAGGGACACCCTGGGCTGTGCTCCCTCTCAGCCCTGCCTGTCCCTAGGTGGAACTGCAGATCCAGCAGCTGGCAGAGGAGCTCCAGGCCCAGCGCCAGCCTACTGGCGCCTGCATTGCCCGAATCCAGGCCCTGCGGCAGGCCCTGGGCTAGCATGTTCACCCCAGGGATGCAGGTACGCGGCTGTGGGGAGGCCCCAGGCCACCTCCAGGGACAGAGCACAAAGTTATGACTTTTATTTTTTATTTCAAAATGTTTTGCAATTAAATGAATTACTGTTCAGAAGTCTCCCACTTTTCATACAAAAATACTGTGCTACTGATACAGTTGAAAAAATTCAATGACATCTCTCCTGCAGGAGAAGTTCACAGCGTCCTCAGGGTCAACATGAACTCTGGGACAGGTTTTCCAGGTACTGACCAACCATCCACCAAGGCTCCTCTGCCTCCAAGACAGACTCTGAATCCATAGCAGCAACTTTCCCATATTTCACGTAGTGATATGGGAAGCGGGACACAAACCTCTCCCCTGTCCCTAGCTGGGCCTGCTCTGTTCACTATGGCGCCATGAGGCAGGTTCAGCATCCATCTTGCCGGCCAGCTCCAGACGGTCCCTCATCAGGTCCTGCAAAGGTCCTGATGATCAGTGTCCTCGGAAGACACTGGCAGAGTCCAGGGTGATACGTTCAGCCACAAGCACAAAGATTGCTTTTTCTAAAGGGCAGGATGAGGTGAATTTGGGAACAGAAAGCAGTTGTCATGAAGGCTGTGTGGCTCTGCTGGGGGCGACAGGGGAGGGGCTTCCACAGTCTGTGCCAAGGCACCTCACCCTGTGCAGCAGGAGAGTTAAGGCCAAAAAACAAAAGGGGCCAACAGAAAACAGCCCAGGTGATGGGGAGGAGCAGCAAGAAGGGATATTACCAGTCATCTTAAAACGACAAGACCAACTGAAGGTTCCGTCAGGAATGCAGGATCTCCCATTTATACAGTGTTTAGAAAGCTCCAACTGTGCCTGGGATCATTCCATTTGTAGGGAAGGAATGGGATACTTTGAGGTCATGACAGGGCTCTCACCCTCTTGTCTGCACCTCTGGAACATGTGGGAGCTGAATCATTGAAGTCCTACCTGGTCAGACAGGCCCTCACCTGGATGGCCTCACGGGCCTTCCCCTCTGAAAGACCCTCACTCTCTGTTTGGAAAAGATCCCTTAGCAGCCGTAACAAGGAAAGAGGCTCTAGAGGGAGCCCAGGGCCTCCCCAAAGCGGATTTTCTGTCCTGTTTTCAGCTGAAAATTGAAGTCCTTAGGGGCCTCGAAGATCAGCACGATGGTGGAGCCCAGGTTGAACTCGCCCAGGTGCTCACCCTTGCGCATGGGGACACCCTCTCTGTTGGTGTGCGTCACAAAGCTGAAGTCATTGTAGGAACCTTTGCTGTGCCTCGGGCTGTTTGTGTGCAGGTCCTGTGGGTGATAGGCTGGGGGTTAGCGGGGCCCGGGCCATGAGGTACAGTGTTACCCCATGTTTGGAGTCCCTCTGTTGCTTGTCCCCACCACCACCCAACCCAACTCCAAAAGGGAGGTGAGGATGGCATCTTAGGGCCAGGTGGGCCTGGTCTAGCCAGATCTCACACAAAGTTTTGACACCTGCTATGATCTGTCCAGAAAGGATAGGACCCAGTTGGATCCAGTGGTCTCCATGCATGTTGCTGAGAAAGTGGCTCCTGTGGGAGCCAAGGCCATTGGTCACAAACTGACACCCAAAAAGGCTGCCCCCGTGGGTGTGGTGGTCAGCAGACCTGTGAGTGCTGACCACCTCACATGCTGTAACCAACACAAGCCACCCCGAGCTCAACACTCCCTTTTTGTTCCCCCCACGCTCTCATCTTTAACCATGGTTCCTAGCAGAAGCTAGGTGCCAGGCAGGGAGGCAATTCCCTCCTCTCTCCCAGCCACCTCCAGCCAGCAGTGCAGAGGAGGAGGGAGGCTCAGCCACCGGCAGATGGAGCAACCCATTCTCAGGACAGCTGCTCAGCAGAGCCAGGCCTGACTAGATATGTGGCCCCCCTTAGAATTCAGTCCCAACACATGTAGCTGCACAGCAGACAGAGCAGGTAGACCCAAGAGGTCCAGCCCTTGGGCTTTCACAGGGCCTGGATTCTGCTTACCCGGTCAAAGTAAATACGAATGGAGCCCACGTTGGTGGCCCCAACGGCTGTCAGTGAGAAGAAGCCATGTTTCCAGTCCCCCGTCAGGACCACCCGCTCATTATGGCAGAAGAGCTCTTTGATCCAGCGAGCCATGCCAGGGTTCACTGACATCAGGGAACCTACAGAGGCAGGGAATGCTGCTACTCCCTGTCCAGAGCCTGTGTGTCCACTCCAGGGCAGCCAAGACCCAGAGGGACTCATGCCCTATTGCCCCAATGTCATTCCACATTCCAAGCAGGCTGGAGCCCACAGTCCCCTGCCCACAACCAGCCTGCATAAAGCAGTCAGCTCCTGGCCTTGATGACCCTGATATGGAGCCTGGTCCCCTGACACGAAGAAGCCGAGAGCCTCTGTGTGAACCCACGGAGCTCCCCCAATCCCTACACTGGCCCCAGGCTGACCTGGGAAGTGGCGCCGGTGGGACACAGTCCAGTCGGTGGGAGAGTGGAAGCAGTGGTAGTCCCCAGGAGCCAGGTAAATGACACAGTGATAGAGCTCGTTCCCTTCTCGGGTGACCAGCTGGTTCTTAAAGGAGTCACACGAGGTGGCTGTGGAATGAGAGTAGACGTGGGGGCCACCAACACAGTGAGCACCCAGCACACAGTCTGAGTGTGGTCTGCACATGGATCTCAGGGAGGCGCCACATGTGCCAGCCTTGGACCCTTCCCCAGCATCCCCTCCCTCCTGATCCACACACAGCACCAGGGCTGCCCGGTTCCGCCTGTGCAATGACCCACCTGGTGGGAAGGGCAGGTCCTCTGTGCAGGTGCGTGGGCCCAGGAACGACTCCAGGGAGTAGGTGACCCCCTTTACCTGCTCTACCTCACAGTTCTTCACCTGCCCAAAGTTGAGGATCCTTCCATCCGATGGGCTGATCTGGAAGGGCAGGAGAGGCTTGGTGTGAGGAAGAGCAGGGTCTCCTCCCCGCAGGAGACAGCCCCCACTTTCCCTTGTCATCCTGCCCCTTCCAGGTATGCTGGAGATGGGGGTGCTGTGCTGGACAGGCGGGGCCCAGCTGTGGAGGCAGGAAAAAATCCTATTTTGCAGGAGGAAAGGGTCAGGCCTTACCACACTGTGCAGGCCACAGACAGGCCGGGCCTGTGGCTTCAGCTTGCGCCGGAAGAACTCGCTGAGGTTGCGGTAGTGATGCAGGTCCTCCACAGCCGCCTCTTTCATGTTCACCCCGAAGGTCCAGATGTACAGGCTGTAGACAGGCCTACGCAGCCAGTGGGGCAGCTCCACCTGGTTGAGGCGGCCCCAGGCCCGTGACAGCAAGCGCGTCGGCACTGACTTGTACAAAGCCACCTGCAGGCCACAGGGCATGGGGCTGAGGTGACCACACTGCCCCAGCTCCAAAGAGCTCAAACGCTGTCATTAGCCCACTTCCCACTGCAGGAGAGAATCTGTACTGCACAAAGGCACCAGGGCCCAGGTGTCCCACACTGCTTTTGTGATGTGGCTGTTTATCACTGGGAACCAGACTGCACCTGCCAACTCCTGCCGCACAGTGCTGGGTTTATTCAACTCCAGTGGTTTTCATCATTTGATGCAAAAGTCAAACAGCAACTGCCCCAGACCCAGAGCAAGAGATGGCCAGCAGTCTTTCTAAAGTAGGGGCTGGAAATGGATTTGAGCCTAACTACGATGTGACTCTAGCCATGGTGACCCAGTACCACAGTGTGTGGGGAGGTGATAGGCATCTTGCCAGTCACTGCCCATATCCCAGGCCACCAGAGAAAGGAGGAGGCTCCCAGGTGCGTGGAACAAGTCTACAGCCCAAAGTATGTCCCTCTTAACAGAAATTGAGGACACCCTGAGCACCAACATCAGGAATTTTCAGATGTAGACCTGCATTGTCACTGTCACCTGGGCCTGAGCTACAGACAGGGTCTGCAGCCCCTGAAGGTCCAGCCAGCACTCTGAGGGCCTAGATGAAGCCAGTCGAAGCCCAGCCCTGCTGAGCCCTTAGCCCCATGGCTGGCCTTGTGTTGTTCAGTGTTCTGCTGCGACTAAGTCAGGACATAAAACCTGGGGTTCCTCCCAGGAGGCAAAGGGAAGTCATTCCCTCTGCTCTCTCTTCCTCCAGGGAAGCCTGGAGCAGCTGAAGACCGATGATGGCCTGGGGACAGGCAATGGGTCCCACTAGTTGGTCCCAGAACTCTCTGGCAGGGCCAGGTACCCAGGAAGTGGCAGCCTCTCAAACTTCAGGTGCTGCTGCCACTATAGAAACTGCCTCTAATGGGCAGCTGCTGCTTCTCTAAACATAACCAAGACACCAACTCCCCAAGGTGTAAATGATTTTATTCCACCTTTGAACACCTCTCCAAGGTAAGGAATTAGCAGCTCCCAGAGAGCTGCTCTTACCCCTCTCTGCTGATGCCCAGTCATGCAGAAGGGCTGTGTGAGCCCCGGCCCTTCCCAGGCACAGGCTGTAGCCTGAGCTAATATCCAGGATGCTTCAATGCCCCTGAGCTCTGGTGACACCCACCTGAATGTCAAAGGCCCAGGAACAGGGTTTCCTCCTCGGGGCCAACCAGCCTAGGAAGCCAAGGGCAAGAGCAAGCTCTCTAGGGACCAGGAGGAGGAACTGCCAACTCCTGCCACACGGTGCTTGCACAATCCTGGGACAGGCTTCTGGGTTCCGTTCACCCTAAGGGTCCCAAACAGGCTCCATCTTTCCTGAACCACCCCTCCAGCATCCCAGAATTAATGTGGCTTCTACTCAAAATCACGTCTAAGCTCTTTTCTGCCTGAACACAGAAAAGTCAGAGACAGACACCATTTTCTGAATCCCCAGATTGGATTCCTTCCAGAACCAGAGCCCCAAATGGCAGACACAAGGCAGGCTACGGGAATGGACAGGGCACAGCACACCCTGGAAGTCACTCTCACAGCCTAGATAGTGGACTTCTCAAAAGCTGCCCTGCCCTTGCCTACCAATGAACCTTGCAACCCACTGAAGATGGAGTTATGACCTATGTTTCTGACAGTCCATCTCCTCCTTAGTCTCTCCAGCACCTCAACCTCAGGCCTGCCCGGGGAGAGGTCCAAGCCACAGGGGGCTGCGCACACTTACCCTGCTCACAGGCCTCCATCCCACCCGGCTGAGCGGTCTGAGGGCGCCGAAAGGCAGGAGGTAGTAGAGGACGGTCAAGGGCCAGGAGCGCAGTTTCAGAGCAGGTCTGGACATGCAGCTCAGCTGCCCCAGCCTCCTCCTCAGGGCAAGCTGGGGGAAGTGCAACCTGCAGGGCACAGGTCCACACACAGCCAGGTCAGTGGCCACCTGCACCCGGGGCAGAACCCCTCCTGTCTACCCACCCTCAGCAAGCTGCCTCACTGTGGGATGATGGACCCCAGCAAGCACTGGCGATACCACCTTGTCCCAATCCCATTCTGAATCGGGCTCACTTCCCAGATTCTCCCACCCGCCAGCAAGCTGGGGAGGCTGGGAACGTGGGGACAGCCACAACAGAGGAGAGTCAGGCCCAGCTGTGGGGAACATCAGCCGCAGCAGCTCCCATGAGGGCCTCCAGGCCCAATCACCTGGGCCCAGGGAGGGGAGAGTAGGGTGCAGGGCCTGTCCTGTGTCTCTCAGCCTCCACGGCCCAGGAGAGTGGGCCCCAGGGGTCAGCTCTACTGCACAGGCACTGGCATTGGCACAGCAGTGCGTAGCGCTGAGGAGCTACGACCCAGCCAGCTGGGTATCCATCTGCTGTCTTCTGCTACCATCCTTTGCGGGATCTGGGATAGTCTTTTCATGGTTCCAGGCCCTGTTTCCTCATCTGCTAAATTAAGGGACCAAGACCCCACAAGATTTCAAAGGGAGTATTTACACCCCCACACACCCCACCACACAGCTACGGCTCCATCCATTTGCATGGTCTTTCTATAACAGCCCATCCATAGGTTTGTGAACAAAACCTCCCCACCACAAGCTCTCAAGCCACCTGCCTGCTCTGCTGGGGCCACACAGACATAGACATACACGACCCAAGCCCCTCCTTTCAGCAAAGGTAGACACACACACAGACACACACAATCCCCCTCCTTTCAGCAAAGGTGGATACACACACGACCCCCCTCCTTTCTGCAAAAGTGGACACACACACATACACAGCCCAAGCCCCTCCTTTCTGCAAAGGTGGGGACACACACACGACCCACGCTCCTCCTTTCTGCAAAGGTGGGCAGGCCTCTCCCCACCATCCCAGCATAAATGTAGGGCGGTCAGCAGGAGCTCAGCTTCACCAGAGCCATAGAGGCTAGACAGGCCTTTCCATTAGAACCCTGGCCTCCTGAGCCAAAACAAGGCCCACCCCACCCTGTCCACACCTAGGCCTAGCAAATGCTCCTGAGGCCCAGTGTAGCCTACAGGACACCACACTGCCATCCACTCATAATGTCCCCAGGCCTGTTTCCTCATCTGCAAAGTGACTGCATTTGGCTAATCTGCTGCTGCCATCTGGGACTGCGCTCTCAAGAGAAGCTGACTCCTCTCTCCCAGTTGCTGAGCAAACCAAGGAACAAAGCGGCATCTCAGCTGATAGCAGCAGCAGAGCAGACAGGAGAGGCAAGCCGGCGGTGAGGCCCTGCTCAGTTCGGAGGCGGCTGCATCCACAGCTCCCGGGTGCCTGCTTTCTCTCCCATCCCATCCCGGTGTGTTTCTAAAAGGTCCAGGAAGGCGGCAGGGACCAAGCAAAAACAAATCACTGCTCCCCTCTGGCTTCCCACCTGCCCTGCTCACTGCAGAAGAGCAGGGACCAATCCGAGAAGAGCTGCACCCCTCCTCCCGGCAGGAAGGGGGATGGGGAAGCCTCTCTCTGGGGGTGGGGCGGTGGGGGGCACAAAGGCAAGGATCTGGGGTGGGAGGAAGGGGCCTGGGAACACCAGGGTAGGGAAGACTGCAGGCATGAGGTCTGAGGCCCACTGGCTGCCTTCCCCTGCTGGGGCCCTCCTCCTGGTTGGAACCAAAGGTACCTGAAGCGGGCTCTCCGACTCAGGGCGCTCAGGTCCCCCAGGCCCGGCCCCTCCAGCCTCGGGAGCTGACCACCAGTCCCCTTGCCACCACCTCCACTGCGAGGCCGCTGGATGTGAACTCTGACCTTCCGGAGGTCATGGCGGGGAGCCGTGGGATTAGGGCGCGGTGGGCAGCATCTCACCATTTCGCCGCACGGAGCTCTGGTCCTCGCCGCGCCTCTGACTGACACATCATGGGCCGGCGCAGGGAGGGCGGGGCGAGGCTCACTCGCTCACTCCCTTTGTTTTCCTCTTTCCTCCCCTTCCCTGGAGCCAGAGGATCTCCTATGCTGTCACTGCTCCAGGGCCTCTGCCTCCACGAGGCCGGTTGGTGGCGCCGCTTCCTGGGATTGGTTCAGTCTTGGTGGCTCACAGGGTGCAGGTTAGAGGGTCAGGGCTATTGCAGACAGACAGGCACTGGTCACACACCTGCTCAGGGCTTGCAGCCCAGTGCAAAAACCCCTGCACTCAAACCCACTGTCCCCAGGCCTGGCAACCTGCATTGTCCCTGCTGCCTGGGGCTGAGCCAGCCTGCACTGCTCATCCTCTTCCTCAGTTGGCCTGGGAGCAGCAGTGGGGCAAGGCCCTTGGGCTGCCTGATCCAGTGAGCCATGACAGGGAAGGGACCAGCCACTGCTGCCAGGGCTTCCAGGCACCTCTCAGCTCCAAACACACAAGGTGGGAACCTGAGCCCTGTGCTCCCTGTGCTACAGGCCCTACTCGCCGTGGTTTGGCCCCTCCCTCGCCAGGATCTGACCCATTTTCAATTCAGGTTACAAAGTAGCATCTGAGGAATGAGATAAGAGGGGAAGCCAGGAGAGGTGCCCTGGTGAGAACCTGGCCTCTTATCTGCTCCAGGTCTCTCCTCACCTCTCTGGCCTTAACCCCTCCACCAACACACACACAAAATAATACCTGGCTCCTCACTCCAGGCCTCCTCAGAAGCTGGGCCTGGGAACAGGCCAGGACTGCAGCCCAAACTAGTTCCACCCCTCTTTCTCTATCTTTGCTTCAGAAAACACTTAGGCAGGGCCCTGCCTGGCTATCTGGGAGGACACTCCCTGCCCCTACAAAGCCTCTCCACATTACCCTGCACAGATACTGGCTGCTATCTCAGCCCAGGCAATCCAGGCCCTCCAGGATACGGGCTGACAGGGGCCCGTCCCTCCCAGCCTTCAACCCCGACCACTACCGCTCAAGAAGGGGGCAGGCACCTGTCATCATCCTTAGATGATGAAATGTGGCTCCAAGAGCTGCTGCCTAAAGCAAAGAATGGGCCAGACACAACC